GGCTCACACCTGAGCGAGGACGCTGATGCCGGGAATCTGCGCACACGCTGACACAGGTAGGCTGCTGTAAAGAGGTCCCTTCACCGTGCAGTGTAATCATTTTCACTGGCTGCTCCCACCTCCCTCACATTCACCTTTAAATACAGTCTTAACTACTTTGCCTTTTAGAATTATGCAGAACTACAATTAGCCCAGGGTAGCAATTTAGCCTCATGCCTTATGAGTCTTATGTAAAGGTTAGTTTGTCACTTTAAATCTTCCTTTTTAAAAAGGGAGCACAGCTGGTTGGGAAGAGAGCGGGACTGCCACCCTTTGGACAACTAGGGCAACTACAACTGAATTCAGCTTTATTAACAAACTATCAGTGAAAACTTTATTTTTCAGCATCTAGAATCAATGTCACTTGAATTGTTGTGCCAAGATAAATACTGGTCATTTTTTCTTAAATAAGAATTGATAAAGTTCTATTTGTTAACATCAATAACTCTTTATGTGAAGCCACAAGCAGGATCTGTTTATAAGCGACAACTGGTGATTATTATGATCACTATTTTTCACTATATTTACTGGAGTATTGCTTCTTTGCTGCCATGACAACTGAGCAAAAGAACAAAGGCCATGGGATCAGGGAGAATTCTAGTAGGTCGTCCTCGAGTTTAAAACAGTTTAAACTCTTTAAAAAACACATTTATACCTGATTGTGAATGATGTGTATGAACAGTAAACATGGGTGTTAATGGTGTTACAGTGAATCCGGTTACCTATCGGTGGCGCCATAACACGACAGACGACTTTAATAGAAGCAGACATATTTTAATCTGTGATAATTTGGTTAACTTGTCTTTCTATGTAATTTAATGCCAACAAACCTGCCGCCTGCCTGGCAGACGTCTGCTTGTGTGTCTGAGTGTGTGTTATTTGGAATTGGTTGTTTGAGGTAAACGTAATGTGAAATGATTTTTTTTGCCTTTCTTTCTCTTGTCATGTTTTTCTAGGAAAATCAACACAGTCTTTTTATATAAAGAAATTTCAGAGCGATTTTCGCGAAGAGCTTCCTCTGAATAGGAATGTGCTCTTGCTTTGATAACAGGTGACCAGTTTCCTCCTCACTTTCTACACCCATTTGCACTCGGAAAATAGATGTTAGTTGAATTTTTGTGCCGTGATAAATGTTGGTCTTTTTCTAATTTTATCGTACAAGAAATCAATAAAGTTTTATGATGCACTTTGGGTATTGTGGATAATATTTTTTCTAGGAGTGAGTCGACCTAATGTAGCAGAAACAGCAGAGAATGTAAATGTTTTCCTGCGAGCAGAAGATGAAGTACGCTGCAGCACGCTGCTTACAAACAGGTAATGCACAGAAGCTCCGGTTTCCTCTATTAGATATTAAAATAGATTGTTCAGCAGCAGGGACCTGTCACTATTGGCCCGCTTCTCATCTCCTGATGATGGCTGCTCCTGGCAGGTCAGTGGGTGCGTTCTTGTGAGTTAGGTGTCAAATACTGACTGGTGACTTTTCACCACAGTGCACAATCAGACCATTGTGTTACTCTGGGGAAGTGAGAGTAGTAAATTCAAGTCATTACCAAGCAAAGGAGAAATTATCAAATGGTGAAATTCAGTTGTGAAACACAGAAAATTCTGCTTAAACTTGTAAAAGCGAAACGAGAAATGGACTGTGAAAAATAAGCAAACTAGACATAAAATAACAGGTCAAAGTTCAATGTGACAAATTTCGGTTTTCTCACATTAAACAGCATTAACAAAAACAGTCAAAACTCCCACCAGACATCTGGCCTATACGAGGATGAACATAAACAAGTGCACAATAAGGAAACACCCTCTAGCTGACCATTTTCCTCGTGCTTCTGAGAAAATGATCATATTCCATTAGTTCTTCTCTGAGGAGATAAACACTGATATCAGTTCAATTCTGGTCAAACTCAATAAACCAAACAACCTCGAGCTAACTGAAGATAAGACAAGGAGTGATGTTCCGGCCATGAAACCAATAAAACAGGATTTTACACCCCATCTGTGCTTATGTCTCCTTTATATTTCACACCCAAACAGTCTGAGCAGCTCTGAGGAAGTTGGTGTTTCACTTCACCCCTCCGTTACTTTTCCCACCCTGCTTCTTCAACATCAATCCTTTACATTGTCTCTGGACGCTAAGAAATAAAATCATATGAGTTTCGCAGACGCGTTGTATGCAAAGCCACATAAGCTTTCACACACACACACACACACACACACACACACAGGGACTGCAGTGGCAATTTGCTATCTCACCTCAATAGACCATAAAACCTACTCTGTGTTGCTTGATGGGACCAAATCAATTGTGGGGATTCATCTGCATTTACACTACACTACATACTTTATATCAGTGGCTCCTGGTCTTTTATATTGCCTCAGGTGCAGGTACAGCCCTGTCAGATGAACTGAAGTACCCCGTTCCAAATGTGTTTGTTTGAATTGATTTCTATACTGAATCTTGCTTAAGACTAGTGATTATATCAAACAATTTCAGCTGTTTATCCATTATTGTTTGCTGACTATCTCAACCATTATTCCTTTACGTTTAGTTATCTATTTACTTTTAGCTAGCCGTCGACCTCTCTGCTCGCGTGCTAACTCGTTTTCATGCAGTGTGTGTTGTGTTGCACTGTGGGTATTTCTTTTCTAATCAAAAACTAATTTGTATTGTTCAAATTAGCTGAGCTGCTCTACAGTCTGTCCAGGCTACAGCAGACGTTCTCCCTGGGGAACAAGTATCCCTGTTTCTGAATCACTGCTTCATGTGTCCACATGTGTGGTGACCATGTCCCACTGTGTCCACAATCGCATTTCGAGCTGTGGATTTGTAATTACCCAAGTGTGAACAAGGCCCCGCATATACACACAGGTCATGTGAGGGACCCGTTGTGGCCTCCTCGTTGGGTCATGTGAGCAGGGGCTCAGTGCTGACTGGGCCCCACTTCAAAACACTGACACAGCCCCCAGCTTTTATTGATGAATAAATAGCTGCATCCCCAACATAAAGGTCATTTTCTTCAAGCTGATCTACTTTAAAAACCTATGAAAAAAAAAAAAGTGGTATAATGCAGAAGTAATGTGTGTGATTGTAGGGGGAAAGATAGAGCACTGCAGAGGTGAAGAAAGTGCGTAATACTCTGTCTCTTATCAGTGAGAATGAGTGTGGGAGGCGGACGCAGGGAGGACAGTGTGGCAGGGTAAATGATGGCAGTATTGATCTCCGATGCTCTTTTATAGCCCTGTCATGTCAGTTTAGCACCTTGGCAACACTCGCTTTAGAGCTACATCAATACCGAACTCTGGCACTCAGCAAAAGACAGATAGAAAGAGGCAGACAGATAGAGGGAGAGGGAGGACAAATAAATAGAAAGAAGTAAATACCCACTGCAACATCAAGGACCCATGCTTTACAGCTCCAAACTTAAGAGTGAAGTGAGGACACAGACACCAAAGTTATCCATGTGTCACTGATTGGCTGTTAGCTGCATGCTAACACTTGATTAAAGGAATATTTCACCATTTGTTTTACTTTTTTTTTTTTGCCATGAATCTGAGTTGACAATGAAGTTAATCATAACTATGACTAAAAGTTTCCAGTGAACTGTTCCTTTAAGAGTACACAACGTTCACGCGGCAACTCAAAATCAGGAAATGAGGAAAAACGACTGAAAAAATAGTTTTAAATCTAAATGCTAAATACCAATATCATGCTAATATGGAGCCAAATGTGACATGAAGATAAAATAAACAAACCATCTTTGGCGTGTGATTAAAGAGCACTGGAATGAACAGACAAACTGGCTGTTTGGTCTGTCTCTTTACTTCTGGTTCAGCTAGCTGGACACTCTGTGTGATAAAGTGTTAGCTTCCTGTAAATGACCCACTGATCTACTGAGGTCACCAACGATTTCGCTGTCTGGCTGTGAGTTTGTCTGTCCTCGTCCTCTTTCACCTAACAGGTACTCGTTTAACCTGTTGTTAAAATAAGGGTCTATTTGCAGGTGCAAGACTCAGACTTCAGGGCAGACTGGAGGCTACAGTGAGTCGCTATCGGAAAGTGACAAGACGGGCTGGGGCTAGCTGGTTAGCGTGCTAACTTCAGTAGAAGATAAGACGTGATGGAGACAAGCGTTAACACTGCACAGCTCTTGGTGAGTAAAGGAATGAAGATTGATACTGAACTCGTAACGTTTCCTCTACACTGGTAAGTAAACAGCTGTTAATGCTAACGCTGGCTATGCAGCAATAGCTGCTTTGATTTGCTTCTATGACAGTATTATAGTATTATCATACTGTTGTCAAGTGGTGGCTGGTTGGACATTTAGTTTAGTTTAGTTTAAACTGAAAATAATGAGTGCAAGCTTAAAACACGGCCATGTTGCTGCCAGCTCTCAGTTCTAAGTATACTTGCATGTTTGGATGAATTTGTCCCTGCTACTACTTTTATAAGATGAGTGCTGCAGCTGTATTAGCAATAACATGAAGAACAATTAATGAAAGACCTGATTCTCCCTCATTTCTTTAAACGATCGAGTGTCAAAAATGAGCTGGGACGGAGACCCACTGGCCATACATGCACACAGTACTGTGTTTTCATTGTTCTGCCTACTTGCATTTCTGCCGTTGTCCTGATTGATTAACTGACACCTGGAGTTGGATAACACTCACTTGGAATAAATGGTTTTGTAATCGGGCTCCACTGATGCTCCAATTCTGTTTGGTGAAGCAGAAAATGAACCCTGGTTGCATTATCTGATAGCCACTAACTACTGGATTTCATCTGCTGAGAGCAAAACATGCTAACATCTTTTTCTACAGCACTGCACTTCTGCTCTTATCAACCCCGGGGTTTAATGAACTTGATCTGTGTGGATTTATGTTCAATTATGGGTCGTTTTAGTGTTTTGTGATTGTTTGTGTGTGTGTGTGTGTGTGTGTGTGTGTGTGTGTTAACTGACCGGTCACAGGAGCACGCCACCAGCACACTGAGCAAGTTGTAGATGATGAAGGTGAAGATGACGGCTGTGATGGTGCCGCGGGGGATGGAAGAGCTGGGACTTTTCAGGTCACCTGGAGGACAGACAGGTTCACTCTACGTTCACAGAAAAATAATCAGGTCACCCACACACACCCACACACACACACACACACACACACACACACACACACACACACACACACACACACACACACACACACCTGCCTCCCCTACCTGACATGTTAGAACCAGCCATGATGCCGGTGCAGCCATTAAACATCACAGCGAAAACGGTGGCAAAGGTCATCATAGTTTCTGTTGTGTAATCCACAGTGTAGTCAGCTGTTGGAAGTAGGAAACAACAGTTAATCCCTGTAGTTGTGTGTCTATCAACATGGCTGACACTCCTCTGTACCTGCTCGCCAACTTAATCGTGTTTGACAGTGTTTAACTTTGACTGAAAACCATTTCATTCAGATCTTATGTGTTGTTTACAGAGCAGCATCTACTTAATCTCAAGACGCTGCATCTATTTGTAAAAAAAATCCATTTCACAGCTGCGAGCTGTGACAGGTCCTCTGTTTCCTGTTTCCTTTGTTTCCTGTTTCCTCTGCTTCCTCTGCTTCCTCTGTTTCCTGTTTCCTCTGCTTCCTCTGCTTCCTCTGTTTCCTCTGTTTCCTCTGTTTCCTGTTTCCTCTGCTTCCTCTGCTTCTTCTGCTTCCTCTGCTTCCTCTGTTTCCTGTTTCCTCTCTTTGCGTCTACACACCAATATTTCAAAAAACACACATTCTTTGATGAGGCTGAATGTGTACAATTAGAAATACATATATGGATCACGCCTAACTCTTTAACTTGAACTAAAAACAAAAACAACATTTTCTTCCTCATAAGATGCAACAGCATTTTACCTGAGGGAATTCCAGCAACAACAAAACTCATTAAAACTACTGTGCTTTATTGATTAAGGTATGAAGGTAAACAAAGTCCATGATTGAACAGCTAATATTACAGCTGTAGTTATATTTGTAAAAACACTTGATACAACAGTTTGATGGAAGGAAACAAACGTGTAAAAGTAACCAGAGAAGGAGAACTGCACCGCCACTCCACTCTCTTGACTCTTCTCTCTTAAAATATTCACAATGAGTTCATTGAAAATTATAATTTAATATGTCTCTGTGTGTGTTTGCATTCTATTTCATTAGATCTCAGGATAATCCAAAGCTTGTTGTGTGTAATAGTTCTCACGTGTGCCTGGGTGCATGCCCAAGTTACAGCAATTAGCTTAGTCATGCTTAATCATGTGTTTGGATATAATTCCCTGCAAACGGAGCGGAGCGCCTGGTTGGTTTTCCGTGGACATTAAGAACCGGAGAACATGTACAACATCTAATTACAGATCAGTCAAAACCTCTGTCCTCTGCCAGTTATGTATTATGTGATTATGTATTTTCAGAAAAAAACAGAGGTGGCAACAGGACAAAGCGCTCACTGCCACCAGAAAGCCTCTGGTTCTTTTCCCAGTAGAGCTAATTTCAGCTTCATTAGAGCCGGTGAGGGACCATGTCCTCGTCACTTGTCACTGCACTAGTGACTTGCACAACGGGGGCTGGGATCGAGTTAGCATAGTGTGGAATTCAACACACACAAGGCATTTTTGATAAATACAGTTGTTTGCTTTCGAAGATTGAGAAGATTGATACCACTCTCATTGTTCTACAGTAAAATATAAAGTTATCACCAGCAGCCAGTTAGCTTAGCTTAGCACAAAAACTGGAAACAGAGGGAAACTGCTAGCCTAGCTTTGTCCAAAGGTGTCCACATCTGCCTAACACAACCTCTAAAGCTCATGAATTGGCATGATTGATGTTATTTCTTTAATGTGTATAAGAGCTTTTATGAGGGTTTATGAAAAGGACAACTTCTTATTGACTTCTGGAAGAGTGTGACTGCGCCCACAAGAGACATTCAGTTCTCAGCACTGACACCATATCAGTGTAAAGGGCCATAGTATGAGAGAAAAGGGGATTCTACATTTACTGAAATTTAATTTACTGAAAATTTCATCTCCCTATTAACCTCTGTATAACTCTACTTGAAAGTATGGCGTTGTAGAGGGTTTAAGAATTAAATAGCTTAACTAGAGGCTAAATCACATCAAAGCCTTAGTTTGTACATTAATTCAGTCAAAAGAAGTTATTATCACTGTGTCTTTCATATTGCACTTCGGTCACAAGCCGGCATCATTCAAACATTTTATTTCAGAGCTGATTTGTATTTGCACAGAAGGTTGAGGCTCTGAGGAGAATAATATGAGAGTACACACCTACGACTGTTGACCTTTGTCTTAGAAACACTTCTAAGTTAGTCAGACTCTCCCACACATGGTTTATACAAGTCTGCCATTTAGCTGATGTTTACATTTCTTCCTCCTCCATAACTGAAGTCTTGTTTTAGAGCTTAGCTGACGACTTTTTCTGAGAGCAACCAGATCAGATGGAGCAACACAGTGTAGAGTGTGATCACCACCGCACTCTGTTTTCTTTGATCCAAACCCAAATGGGAACTTTTACTATGTTTTATAAAAAACCCGATGAGGTTTAAGGATCGAATAAAGGAGGAACAGCAGCTTAACAGGTTAACTCTGCAATATAAAGTGCAAGTTCTTCCATAATAACATACTTAAACTACTAGTGTGACCTACAACTGACACAAAATCCAAGCAAATTTACTATTTGAGCAATGAATTACATTATAATATAAAACTGCTCTCTCACTTAAAAACAGCAGCGTTCCAACTCTGTTTTGTTGTTATTTAATACAAGTTTAAAATATTTTAAAAAGCTAATTACACTGAACAACAGATGCAACCTGGTACAGTATCCAAACCACAGTTCACACCACCTCTTTCCTCATCTGAACTATTCTTTTATCTATTCAATTCTTTAAGTAATTACAGATTATTTGTTGGTATCACTAATTCAAATCTAACTTTGATTCGTATCATTGTCGTAGCAGAGATCAAATCAGGCAAATCATGTGTGGTATGAACACAGAACTTATTTGTGACTGTCGTCCCATTTCTGGACCAGCCTCCTCCATCTTACCCCACAGGTTCCCGAGCAGCGTGTCCAACTTGAAGCCGGTGAAGTTGGCCGTGGTGGGAACCACGGGGCCGGTTCCGTTCACCGCCGGGTTATGCGTGGCAGATCTGGGCAGGATGATGGTGTGAGGCCATACGGCGAAGAAGCTGACGAAGATGGTGCCCAGGACGAACATGACCACCAGGAAGATGATGAAGGTGGCCTTGGCGTAGATGTGGGCCCCCACCAGGCACACCAGCAGGCACAGCAGGGCGACGGCTGTACCGTAAAGCAGAGACCACCAGTAACCTGACGGCAGGACCTGGTAGGGGGAAGTGGCCCCGGTCCCGTCTAGGAGAGGACGAGATGTGTGAGGTCGCAAGGGAAAAGATAATGAAAAGGATTTGTTAATGCTTATAAATTGACAGAATGTGTTCAAGAGCTTCATTTACCCAGGAAACATTGCCTGAGCTTTACTTTCTCTTCTAAAAACTTCCTGCTTCCTGCATTTACACCTGAAAATTCCTCTTCCTCTGGGAAACACATCTGCAAATCTCATGCTATTCCAGGAATGGTTATGACATGTTGAGCTGGACGCGTTTTACGAGCTGTTGAGATCAAACTCACCCTCTGGCACGCCGAAGGTGCCCACGATGGCCTCCACCAGACCCAGCACATACAGAGCGCTGCCGCACACATTAGCCAGGAAGAACATGATGCCGATGCTGCCACCAAACTCCGGACCCAGCGCTCGGCTGATCATGTCTGAGTGACGTTAAGGCAAAGTACGCTGACAAAACAGGCGTGTGTGTGTGTGTGTGTTTTTGTATTTCTAATCCCATAGAAAACCATTAGAGTTTAAGACCTTAACATCAGTGAAAACGGGGTATTTAATTTCATTGGATTACTCTTTCACAGAGGGTAAATATTAGGCATAGGTTTAGGTTAGGGATTACAAGAAGCATAAAGAATATAATCATGGTTGGAAGGTTTGAATACAGTCAAAGCAAAGTCCTCCCAAGCATGATAATAATGTGTGTAGATACAACTTCATTCCAATGCCCTTATCAAAATATTATGACAAACGGGCCAATGAAAAGTGACAGTAAACTGCCCGGTTACTGAGGATGATCCATGGATATAAATATCAGATTATATGATGCATATATATCATCTGATAAACAGCACTGATTGGAGTCATTTACCAAACTGCTGGCATGGAAGCACATTGGCATTAATCTCAATCACAAGTGCTGAACAGCGTCTTCTAGTGCAATCACTAAACAAATCCAGCTCCGTTCAGTGTCACAGACGATGCCTGAGTGAAACAAAGACACTGTCTGTTTAGTGCAGCGAGGAGGAGTGTGTGCATTCTGTCGACATCTTGACCACCGACGATGTTACTGATACTGCGCTCACTGTCATGTGACGCTGTGTGTGTGTTGGCGATATGAGGATACAATAGGCTCCCCCGGCGTCCAGGGCTCCATTGGTGGAGATAGCACAGACTGACAGCACGGTCATACAGATGATGAAGTAGGCCACCAGGAACATGGCAATAGCTTGGTACAGTCCAGACTGGCCAACCACAAATCCTAGAAAGAGAGAACACACACACACACACACAAAACACTGATGATCAGCTGACTGGACACACGACTCCTGGCCTTGCACTAACATCAGAGAGGTTAAACTTCCCCAGGAAGAGCCTACACACAGTACGGGGGATGTAGCATGTGAATCACATTAATCCAGCCAATAATCATCAGCACATCAACTCTTTGATTTGAACCACAGACATAAATACATATTAGATGCACTGTGCTTGTAGTTGATGTGATAAAAATATAATAATAACAATTTAATAGTAAAAAATATTTCTGGAAATTCCCTGAGAGTGCACAAAATGACTCATGACAACACACACTCGTTGCTAAAAGAGAAACTGGAATCACAAGATGGAAATGTTTCCAGTTTCTCTTTCATGTCTTTACTGTAATGTTGACGTCTGAGGATCTGTACCAGGAAACAGATAGTTCCCTAAATAAACAGTTAAAATCAGGAACTATTTTATCAATGAGAAAAATGAGAGAAAGGAAGAAATAAAAGAATCAGGGAGACAAACTAAAGGAAAAACTGAAAAACGAGTGGAGAAACAGGAGGACAGCGCCCCCATCCACGGGTCCTCAGGGGTCACTGGATGGTCACTGAAACAGTCACCTGATCTCAACCCAGTGGAACACCTGCGGGAGATTTTGGAGCGACGTGTTAGACAGCGCTCTCCATCACCATCATCAAAACACCACATGAGGGAATATGTTTTGGAAGAATGGTGTTCGTCCCTCCAGTTGGGTTTTCTTTTAATTTATCATCTGTCTGTTTATATGTACACACACACACACACACACACACACACAGACTCACACACACAAGTGTAGAGTCTGTGTGTCTATAAAATGTGACCCACAGCATCGTAGGATTATCAGGAGAACATGTCGTGGTGGACGCTACATTTCCTGTCCCATTGTTAAGGACGGTTATGTGCATAAAATTCATGTTCAAAATTTGGACATTCAAATAAAATGGTGGACAGGTAATAAACACAGTATATCGCACTTTACAGTAAAAAGGGAGTGATTCTGTTCACAGCCAATCGCCGTATCCCAAATCCATACTACATTCTGACTCTAAGCAGATGTTTAGAGTGCAGTGTGTTCAAACTAGAAAGGTGAACATGAATATGAATTGAATATGGCAAATTTTTGAGTGCGCTGCTGATGCACAAAAGAAATGAGGAACTACACACAGCCTGATAAAATGTAAATAAACTGCGCTCAGCTGGGTGGAGGCCCACGACTGGCTGGTCAAGTGCTTGAAGGAGGGAACTTTGGGGAGACAAGGTTGTTGTCCTTATTTAAAAGCAGGATTTTATTGACCCCTAACTCCTCCAAAAAAGATAATACTTGTTCTTAACACGATATCTGCAAACACACATTTTGTAAATAAAAAAAGGAAAAAGAAAAGAAAAAGTATTTCAGATGCTGGAAACGAGTGATTAAAATAACTCAAATCTCACAACTTCATGAGTAAAGTCATGTGCATCTAATCGAAGTGTATGAGGAGATGTCAGTGTCACTACACACCATGTTAGACGCGCATTTACCACATCATGACCACTTTCTTCTTTCAACGACTGTGACCTTTGACTGTATATATTTATATAAAATCAATGACTGCGACTAACGGCATGTTTCCATGCTCTGCCTTTATCCTCGGTGCTGCTTTGGATGTCACATGATCACAAAGCACTGGACCCAAAATCTCATGGCACAAAGTACCAGGTTATGAAGAAGGCAGCAAGCACAGTTAATAAATGTTACAAAGGTTTTTAATAAGGGTTTTCTTTGTTTTAGCGTTAATGGTGATTTTAAGCACATTTTTAAGATGGCCATGTTTTTATTTTAAATACCATAAAAATATAATTTGATTTATGAGGATAAGTTAGGTTATGATAATAAGCGTATGATGGCAGTTTAGTTTCTTCATGCTCACATATGTTGAGGTTTTCAAGGCTGGTAAATTTACCAGTTTAGTTTCACATCCACAATGACACCGCTGTTATTTCCTGAACAGACTTAACATGCTACAGACTGAGAATAGCAGTCGAAAGTCCCACACAGACAGCTACTATGTGTGTCAATGTGAATCTGTGCATGTGTGTGTGTGTGTGTCTGTCTGTGCACTTTGTGTGTTCACTGCACAGCAGCTGACATCTCACGAGACTGAGGGGGAGCAGGGGGGGAATGTGAGAGAGAGAGTTAGTTAGAAAACAACTTTGAGGTACAAAAGGTACAAAAAACACACACACACACACACACACACACACACACACACACACACACACACACACACACACACACACACACACACACACACAAGCACACAAACACCCATATACCTGCAACTGAGATAACAGACGAGAGAGGATGAACTCAAGTCTGGTCTCTTTCTTTCTGCTGAGACAGTGGGAACGTAAAAGCTTGGACTGCATGACCTGATGATTACTTGCTTCACATTAGCGGTTTTTCATAGAAAAACAGAACATTAACCCACTTCACATTGACCAAAGTTACTCATTTCAGCTTTTTTAACCTTAAACTTATGCAATATTACACAAAATGAAAAGAATACTTCTGCAGTGCCCACAACAATAAGAAAGATTTGACCTGTAGAGACCAGTAAGTTAAGCAGTTAACTTCCCAACAGATAATAACACTTTGAGGACAATGTTACACCTACTATATTTTTTATAACTTAAATATTAAAAGCCTGTGCATCTTAAGTTCATCCCTTTTTGCTGTAATCAAACTTCTGCAGGGGTTAGAACAATTTTGCAAGGGGAGGTAGGCTGTGCCTAAAGAACAGTCTTATCAAATATTTCATTTTTACCTAGTAAATGTAAATACGGAGGAAAAGCTCTCCTTCTGACGGAGAATTCAGCCGCCTAGCAGGTGACTGTGTGGGATTTTTGAGGGATTTAATGTAGAAAGCTAGTGATTTTCTCACTGAATTAAATTTACTGCTAAATTTAGTGACATAAAACAGACTGATGCTACATTTCATTGGTGATTTATCCTAATCAAGCAATGCACAAATAGTTTCCTTCTATCCAGACTTACTCTCACATTCCTACCACAGGTTATCATGACAGATGCACAGGGCATAAACAGGGGGTTTTGAGGGCAGATGTGTCTATGAAACCTGATATGACTTCCTCAAAACTTAAAAAACTCTTCTGTAATTCATTTGCTTCTCAGTCTACGTGACCTTTAAATGAACAGTACAGCATTGTGAAAATTATAAAGGGACAAAAGCTTATAATTGATTCATTACACCAGTGCAAATATTATCAAGCGCAATTTTCTTACTATTAACTTTCAAGTAGTTTACACGCCTCATTAGTGGCCTGTGCATGCTTATTCAGACAGATGAACAAAGTTTATGATACTTAAACATGATGCATTTGATGAATGGCGTGCATGCCGAATTCACCTGTGGCTCCTAAAAGGCAAAAAGGTTCGTACCAGTTATGTTGTAAACCTTCACTGAAACGCAAGGAGACGTAAACAACGTAAAATCTTATAATTCCTAATAGAGTTTGGCGTACCTCTGCTGTTGAGCAAATCACAACACAGTATGCACTGATTTACGTGGGCATCACCTTTACTCACCTATTCTGAGAAAGACCACAACGCTGAACATCGACAGCAAAGTAGGGATCACCACACCGAAGAAGGTGGAGAGTTTCTTCGGTTGTTGCCGCTGGTGGGTAGACCTCTGCCTGGGGCTGCCCGGGTGCCGCTCCGGGACCTGCCCGGCCGGAGGTGACCGCTGCTCGGATTCATTGACGCTGGTGGAGAGGCGATAGTGGAGAAGCGGGGTCCGCTCTGTCATAGTGAATCCTGCCTCTGGACAAGCTTCACAACTTCATAAAGTGCTCTGAGTAATTCCCCTGCGAGCTGTCACCGCAGATGTGGGCCAGAAATCTGACTAACTGTTTCAACGAATATGTCCGACACGTTAACGTTTTTTTTTTTCTCCCTCGGACGTTAGTTAAGGTTTATCAGTGACGCCTCCCAGAAACCGACTGGTAAAAAGTCAATCACCTAGCTACATAGCTAACCGGGAAAGTGCTTTTGTTATTAGTAAAATACCTTAAAATAAAACCGACGTAGTAAACTTACATATTAAAATAAGCAGTCCCTTTACATAGTATTAAAATGCCAGTTACAAGTCCACACGAGCTGCCCATATCTAGCCACTGTGGCTCTGGATAATTTCCTCGTAAAACTATTGAATAGAATATCATGTGATTTACGAACGTTAAGTCGCCGCAATCACAATTAGAACTTCCGGTTGTGACTATCAGTATAAAAGCTATTGACAAGGTCCGTGCATGAAGTATCATTCTTCCGCAGTTGTTCACGTTGAATAATAAAAAAATGCCAGTTTAAGGGGTATTGTCTAATTTCATTGTCTTGCTTAAGCTGAGTGAAAATGTATGTTTACGTTTGTGAGCTCGTTCTTCATTAGCCGATGCTGCCTAAACGCTGTTAACGCTTTGCGTGTGTTATTGTCCCACTGAATGAAGATGTGCAATTCAATTCAATTCAGCGCACCAAAGCGTCAGTTTGTTACATTATTCAACTTGTACAGTAAAAATTGAACAAGGAACTCGAGAGCCGGAAATAGAAACAGCTCGTCTTCAAAGTAAAGGTTGCACGTTTTGAACAAACGTGCTGGCTGCAGCGGTCAATTTAAGGAGAGCTAAACTAAATAAATAAACAAACTGTCTAAAAAAAAAAAATGAACACAATTCATAACTGTTATCGGTGTTTAAATGCTAGCCCAAAACTGATCAGGAATACATTTTCAATGAACACTGGAATTATTATAGAGTCCTTGGTTTGTTCTCCCATATTGGTTTAAAGTGAGAATGTATTCATGTACTGATTTTTGATTTAGAATTGTACATAGTTGTTTGTTCAAGATCATATCATAGAATTTGACCCGTATGTGCACTTTTACTTGTAGAAATATAATCACTCACACCTGACTGACTGTCATTTAATGCCTTACTATACTATAAGGTTTTTATGCCTTACAGTACTATGAGGATTTATGACAATTTTATGCCTTGAAATACTATCATATTTTATGACGTTTTTATGCCTTACTACACTAAGTCGTTTTTTTGTGTTTTATTCCTTAATATACTATGACGTTTTTTGACCCCTTTATACCATATAGATGACAGCCGAGTCATTCTATAAAACGGGAGCCATTTGGGTCTGCAAGATTTGATGGGATGCATAAAGCACAAAAATGTACAAAAGTGAGTTTCCAAATCTTAAAACCATTAGGTCAAGTACTCTTGCCATGATATTAAATGAGAAAATACTATTTATAAAGACTTTAGCCGTTTTTCCTTAGAACATGGCAATTTTCACGTCCGTATTAAACAACATTTGTATCTAAAATATCACCATTAAATGTTGTTTTTTTTTATCAAATCTTTATTATTGTCAGGATTATATGTGTGTCCCTATTTACATAAGATATTTATTTAATAAAAACATACTTTTTTGTAAGAATGTAATGATTTGTGTGTGTCCCTCATTTTGATTTACCACTCTGTCACACTAACATGTTTTGTCTATATACAATGTACTGTTGCTTTTAACTAACACATAGTCCATAGACACCCGCTGGTCAAACAGGGCATTACACAATGGTGTGCACACAGCGCACAATCCTTCCCCAAGGAGACATTTTCAACCCTTCCCAGCGACATTAACGGTACTAATTCACCTTAAACATGTAAAAAAAAAAATCACAACAGCTAACTAACTAACATATATTTCATATATGGAAATTTAACACATGTACATATATTACATTTGCATACGGCATTGTAAATTCAGATCTTAATAAATAAACCGTTTGGTTGATGGCATTAAAAAAGCCAGTGTCTTTGTTTTGGAGGGATGGCCGGGTTTTTGCATCCCTACCAATGTTGAGACCAAATCTACGCCCTTGGTGTGATGGTGGCCTGGCACTGGTCTCTGCCCTGCTCCAGTTTGCAGTGTAAACTTCTGTTGATCACCACAGCCTGCTTCAGCCTCTGGGCCAGCCTTCTGTTGTCAACAGTGACCATATCCAAGGCCTTCTGCAAGGACTCCAGCTGGAGGGTTCAGACACACCCACACGCACACGCACACGCACACACACACACACACACAGACACACACACACACACTTCTCTCTGTCATTGTGTGTGTACATACCCTGTGAGTTCCCACAAGAAACACATACATGGCAATTATATTCCATTTTTCTAGAACCTGGAAAAACGGTCACGATGGAGGCTACATTAGGAACACTTCAACATTAAGTTAGCACTAACACTGTTAACAGGAGCAAACAGTTAGCCTGGCTCTGTCTATTTAGCAGCATCTTTATTATTAAAAAAAAAAGCATATTTCCCACATTTTCAAACAAAGTTGACCTTTGGACACAGAAATCATTTGCTGTGTCCTATGATTTTTCCTACTTGCTCCTGTGTTTTTCACCTGTCATCACATCAAATGGCAATAAATTACTCTAAATCTATTTTCCACTGATTCAGTATTGGCTAATTGCACAGATACACCAACTGTGTCTGACACTTAACTTGTTCTGACTCCTTTTCTTTTCACATTTGCCAGTTTTTCAAAATCAATTTGTAGCCTGAAGAGTTGTTATTTATCTCCATTACCAAATAGAGTTTATTTCTGACTCCTGTGCAGAATTTCAAAGGAGAAATTTATATAAAGTCACCTTGTAAAGGGGGGAGGGAAGGGAATATATTCATTTCTTGATGACATGAATAAAAGCAAAATGCATGTTTGACATACAGTAACTTAATTCCAACACATACTGTACATTACGTGTGTAAGTTTCTTAATAGCTTCACCAGTAAGAAGAATACTGCTCCAATGTTTTAAAATAACATTACACACAATATAAAAAGCCTGTATAAGTAGAAATAGTGTGATTTCTTACAGCTCTGTTGTTCTCAGAGTGAGTAGATGTCAGGAGTCGTTGGAGTTTCTCCACCTCCACTTGGTGTTTCCTGATTTCACTCTGAGCTTGCAGCCTGACACAGAGGGAAGCAACAGCGACATCACCAGTTACACAACTTAACATGATCCAAATAAACGAAACTCTCATTATACATACATATAAAGTGCAGAAAGAGTGTAATTACAGTTACAAATACGTCACATCAACAGTTTAGACGTGTCACCGACTTGACAGTATTCACAGCTGTCACATGTCGTGTTCGTGATCTGATGCAGTTCTGACCTGTGCTTGAGGGTGACCTGCTCTCGCCCTCCGAGCTCCTGATGCAGGCTCTGGCTGTGGAGTTGGAGTCTGGTGTGGGAGGCCAGGGCGCTTTCGAGGGTTTGACTGACCACACCCCCTGCAGGACCAGAGACACCCTGCAGCACCTCCAGATCACTCATCTACAGCACAACACGGGTGATGTTACGGATCACTGTGAGGACAAGTTTGTTCATATATCTGGGGCGGATTAAAAAATTAAAGTTTAATCATTTCAATTCAAATTCAATTCAATTGTTGTACCTTAAATTTCCCATGTAAATTTCCCAATTTTCCCATGAGTGTCCTGTTCTCATCCTGCTGACTCTGTAAGGCTGAGCTCAGAGATCCCACCTCTCGCTGCCAGTCACAGGTTCACAGGCCACCAACATGAAAAGAAAGCAGTACTATGACCAACCACTGAATGAGTGAAGTACATATTCTTGCTATCCTTCATCAGGTGGGATGTGACTCTAGCCAGTTTTACCTTGGCTTCGCTCAGCTGGGTCTCCAGACTGCTTTTCTCACCCTCCAACTTCATAACAACAAGACACAACTGGTGGCCGAGAAAAGAAGGAACAGGGAGCCACAAAAGAGGAATTGTTTCACATCTTGGTGCAACACTACCCATCGTGCGAAAACACTGCAGCATTTGTTGAATATACCTCATTTTTTGAAGCCTCCAGGTCTTTCCTCATGGCCTCCTCCTCTTTTTGGGCCATGCTCAGCCCCCCCTGCAGCCTCTCAATGGTTCGCTCAAGTAGCTCCTTCTGAGTGGCCGCTGTTTGTTGTGCAGTGGAGGAGCTCTGCAGGAGACGAGCATGTTCGCCTTTAATCTTCCCTCTGAAGAAAAGACATATTTTTTTATGGCTAAAAAGTTGTTTCCAAAAACATTTTTCTTATATTTCATGACCACTTCAGGTCCAAAAGTTCTAATTGCATCACTAGCATCAGTGTTTTCCTGCAACTTCCTTTGAAAAAGAAAGTCTCTGAAGTAGCATATACACCGTCGGATAATACTGAATCCCAGACTTCAGACCATTATTGTAGGTGGCTGGGTCTGCAGCACAGTGAGACAGATTTCATTAAGTGATGACACTGAGGAAGAGTCAAAACCTGAAGAATCCTCCATCATATCAGATGATGGCTGACAGAGACTGAATCTGATTTTTAATAAAGGACAACTATCAAATATCAGTGTGAGACATTATAAACCAATATATCTGTCTAACCTCACTGTTCTCAAATGTTAATATTTCCTCCTCGCCCACTAACATGAACTCCTCCCTTGTGAGACAGTGAACTCAGAGATGGGAAACAGATGCAGCTGATTATTGCTCAATTTGCTGCTGATCCATCTGTCTGAGAGGTTTTCTTAGAAATCGAATGTCTGCGAATCTTAACTGTTCGTATGAAGTATTTGTCCTGCATCTGGAAATAATTTGGGGCTAAAGTAGAAATCCAGTGATGTCACAGTGAGCTACAGTTAAGAGTAAAACTCGACTGATATCAATTACCTACAGTAGAACACTGCTGATGTCACTGAGAGCTACGATTGAACTCTAGTGATGTCATTGAGAGATATAATAGAACTCTAGTGATGTCACTGTGAGTTACAACAGAACTGTAGTGAGGTCATTGTTCTCTACAGTAGAACTCTGGTGATGTCATTGGTATCTACAGTAGAACTCTAGTGATGTCATTGAGAGATATAATAGAACTCTAGTGATGTCACTGTGAGTTACAACAGAACTGTAGTGAGGTCATTGTCCTCTACAGTAGAACTCTAGTGATGTCATTGTGAGTTACAGTAGAACGCTAGTGATGTCATTGTTTTCTACAGTAGAACTCTAGTGATGTCATTACAATGTTGTGGCTTTCTACACTTGCTGATTGATACTTCCTATAAAAGTGAGGAGGTAAGTTAAGAAACGAAGGTGAGACTCACAGCTCCTTCCGCAGGTTAACTTTGTCTGTCAGCGCCACCTGCAGCTCAGTCTCAGTGTTGCATGTAGCTGCCTTCAGCAGCCGGTCTTGCTCTTGCAGTCGCTTGACAACACGGTTCCTCTCTGCCTGAAAGACACAGAGTGAAGCAAAGAGTCACGCTGTCTGAGTGAACACACAGACCAGAACTGAGCTGAGAGCACTGACTACATTTATACTGTATATGTACATGTTTATATAAAAGGGCTCCTTGGAAAATGGCTCAACTGGATGAATGGCCTCAACAAAGAGATGTGGAAATATTCGTGTGACCTGACCTGGACTCTATCAGCAGCAGCTTTCATCTTTCTGCCCTCTTTCAGCAGTTTGCTGTTTTCTGTCTGCTGCCTCTGCAGAGCCAGACAAACACTCACATATATTGAACACCAACAAGAATAACATCATGTGCACTACTGATCACATATTTTATGAGATGAGACATTTACAAATGGTATTTCCATTCTCTGATCTTTCGTTCTCTGTACTCACTTCCAGTTCAGCTTTCAGCTCAAACACAAGGGAATCCTTTATTACTGTGAAAATCAAACAGAAAAATGCAGTTCAACGTCTAAACATAATGTGTCGCACTGGAAAACAGATAATATATAAATCAGATTTCTGTAATACCTGACTGTAGCTAGAAATGGTTTAATATAAAAAAGCAGATAAATAAGTGACACAAATTCCAGCCTTTCCTTGAGATACACTACAACATGCAGCAGGCTTAAAGGGACAGAGGAACAGTTCCACCTCTTGGGAAATTGTCTAACAATTGTCTGTTAAATATGAAGCTATGGCCAGGAGTTAGCAGGAAGGAGCAGCTACCATGGCTCTGTCTGTAAGTTATAAACATCCTCCCGCCAGCACCTCTAAATTGCACCAATTAACAAGTTATATATAATTTGTTTAAACTGTATTGTGGTGGTTTTAAATGTTATGTGCTGGACCCAGTCAGGGTGAATGTTTCAGTCTTTGTGCTATGCTAAGCTAACCAGCTGCTAGCTGTAGCTTTATATATAATGCAGAGCTAAGAGAATCTCATCTAACTCTCAACAAGAAATCCAGTGAGTGGATTTCCCAAAATGTCAAACTACTCCTTAAGTCGACATTTAACTTTTACACTTTGTTTCTTTTGAAGTCAGCATCAGGAATCTGCTCTGTTGTTGGGCCCAAACAGCAGCCATATTTTCTGTAAGTGTTCCAGTGCCTTGGATTTGAACAAACTATAACATGACAACTTATTAAGCAAAAAAGCCAAATATTCTTTAGTTTCAGATTCTGAAGTGTGAGAGTTCTCTGCTTTTCACTTTCTGTCTTATTTTATTGTAAATTTGGGTTTTTTTTTGCTGTTGCTCGGACAAAACAAGCAACTTTTAAGACGTCACCTTGGGTTCTGAGAAACTGTGATAGGCATTTTTCATTATTTTCTACTTATAACCTTAGCCCACTTTGTAATTCAGGCTGATGGGGTGACTTACTACATGAAAACTTGTCTTTCGCAGCCTAGAACAACTACCAGGCTCCTGAGTGAGGATCTGACCACATCAATTCGAAACTTGACAGACAGCAAGTGAAATATACTGAAATTTGTATGATGTACGTCTATGTTTTTCCTGAAAAGCCTTAGAACAGCATTGTGTGATGGTTGTAGCACAACCACAGCTAACCTGTCTGTTCTCTGAGCTGCTGACAGCGCGCCTCCAGGTGTCTGCCTCTGTCTTTTTCTTCCTCCAGTTGCTGCCGACTGGTCTGAACCTTCACAGACAAGACCTGGCACTCGGACTGCAGCAGCAGACCCTGGGAGGTCAGAATCAGACAGCATGTTAGCTGGTGTTGGTCATCACTCTCATCACTCTGTGAGCTGTCTTACAGTGTACCTGTCTCCTCTTCATCTCCACCACTCTCTCCATCTCCTCAACCCGCTGGAGGAGCTTGCTGTGAGAGTTCATGGCTTCAGCGGAGCGGGCGGACTCCTGCCTCATCTGCCCTTTCATCTGATCATTAGAAAGTTTTGGAATTAATTTACTCATTTTCAGTGGGTCAAGGCTAACGCAATAAATGTTTGACACAAGATGACAGGGTATAAAAGGGCTACAAAATGAAAGGAATTAGCCACGCACCTCCTTGATTTTCTGACTCATCTCTACTTTGACCGTCTTCAGCTCCTCAGCAGCCACAGCCACGTCCATCTGGAGGGAAAAACAAATGTAATATTTACAGTCCATACAGTGCTCATTGTTCACCTACAGCACATTTTTGTTTTTTTACCAATTTGAAAGCAGCTCAGAAAATATTCTACTGAAGAGAAAATGGCAAGAAAACAAAAATAAGCTGCTGATGAAATCAGCCAAATAATCAATCATCCAAAGTATCAAAATGTCAAATAACACGTGACTGTAGTCAAATTATTTTTCTTATTTTTATTGTGTTCATTCTTGCTTCGTGCCTCAGCAACACATAATGGAAAAATACTGAATACATAAATATGTATCTTATAATTTTGGTTAAACACAAAATGGAAAAGTTTAAAATGTGCAAATCTGTTTTGTCATTGTCACTGAAACATTGTCCACAGCACTATGACACATCAATGATCACTGTGCAAAACAATGGAGAGGCTGTCCAAAATGTGGTTGATCCAGAAAGTTTCTTTTGAAAGGCAGAAATCGACATTATACACACTCGGATCATTTTAAAGTCACAGGGACAGAGTTTACATAAGTTATCTAAATCATTCATTTGGAAGTGAAAACAGTGGTAACTGTCAAAAACATTATCCCATCCAGTGGTGATGATGCTTCTCTGTGTCTATAATGAAAATGGTGAATAATATGTCACTATAACTCTAACTCAAAAAAATATCATATATAATGTTACCTTGGTAACTGTAGCTGCCTCCACTGTCTCCCACAACCTCTGTACCTCTGTGTGAGCCTCATCTCTCTCCTGGTAAGCCTGCTGAAGTTGGTCCCTGAGCTTCATCACCTCCCTCCTGCAGGCCTGCTGCTCCTCCTCACTCTCCTGCTGCAGCGCTGCCAGCTGATGCTTCAGATGAGCTGCAACAGGAAAAAGCTATTTTCAACACATTTTTTATATTTATATCTCTTCTTAATATCTATAATTATAGTTTTGCAACTGTGAACTGTGTTATGTTTCAATAGCTCCCAGTAGTAGTCTATGTTGTTGTTTGGATACTACTGCTTCGCTGAACCCTGATAGTAGCTGCTACTGCAACATACCAATACACTGACTGAAATCACTAATGTTTTTCCTTTTGTCAGTTAGTTACAGAAAAGCCATTACCTGTGTGAGAGAGCTCCAGTTCTCTGTCAGTCTCCAGACGGAAGATGGTGAGTTTGAGGGTCTGTAACAGACTTTCCACGCGACACATACGGCTCACTAGAGAGTCACGCTGCCGCCACCACAGGCCCTCATCTCCCAGGGCCCACTGCATCTTCAGGGGACTTTGCGTGGCAGCCATTGCCTCTGCAGAGCCCGAGATTTCGTCCCTGGATACTCCCAATGCACCCATGCCTCGGATTATACCTTCAGCCTCCTTCTCAGCCAACAGCAGGCGCCGGTGCAGAAGGGCCAGAGTCTCTGGGTCTGTGGCCCCAGCACTGTGGGGCAGGGTGGCTGAGTGGGACATTCCCACACAAGGGGATTGGGTGCAGGCACGTGTTTCTGCCACTGTCGCTTCACTCCAAGTACATTTTTGAAGTTTCAAAAGCTGGAAATTCACTTTATCTACTGTTAGGTTTACTGGTGTAACCCATAAACGTTTAAGGACACTGTAAATGTCTTCTAATTGAAGTCAGACACGAGCTACAGTCGCTACTAGTTTCTGGCACCATATTTTACAATGAACGAACTGCAAAACGCGCAAACAAATTACAGCGACAGGATATTTCAAGTTGCAAGAACAACAAATAAAGTAAAAAAATAAAGTAAAACTTCGATATTTCCATTTAAATCTCAGAAATAGTCGCTTTCTCAAAGTCAAAAACAGTACTGGCTCAGCTTTTCTCACCATAACCGCCGCTACTTCCGGCATCTGTCTCCATAGCGACGCGTCTTGGTGCTTCACTTCTAAACAGTTTCTCTGCTGCATTCAGGAACTATCGGAAACTACGTAACCCTCGTCCATTGGCGACAAAAGTTGACTAACACTACAATTGTTAAGAATCACAGGGTGTGGAATTATGATAAATATATAAAAGTAGATTCAAAGTATATTTTGCTGTGGTATCCATGTTACTCAGGATTATTTTGGAGACGAAGACCGCCAGCTTTGTTTCAAATTATGATGAACATGGTGTTTTTCCATCCTTAAGAAGAAGAAAAAAAGGTCTCAGCTGTTTGGAAATTTGGGGTTTGCTATCCACGATTATTTATTAAAACGAGGTAAGACTAAATATTAAACACAATTCTCCGTATAACCCAATACAAGTCAACAACACTGCAAACTAAAGTCTCCATAATGACCGTGAAGTTACAGCTTAATATCATTAACTACAGATCTTTCTCGAGGCCACGATACTAATTTCACAACATAATAATATCCGTATGGTTTGCGGTTCTGTGATGTTCACGGTCAAGCCCATATAAACTGAATTCTTTAAACAATCATAGAAATCATTATTTAGAGATCTTTTGCGACGCCCTGTGGTAGATACGCATAATAACATGACGAAACATGATTTCACTTTCTGTTTTGGTGAACTGAGACGAGAGGTGAAAAGACAAGATCCCCAACTCGTGATTAATCTTCAACTGTTCGTTGATCTGTATTCAAGGATTTCTGTCGATGGAAAACAAGGAGGCAACACGCATCTGCGGCCAATGGTGAGTTAACTTCATGTTATTTTTATTATTCAGTTATTTCTGAAGGAGTACACACCAAATTACATTACAAGTCTGGTTGTTTGAGGTTGTTTATCATAAAAAAACAGGACGTAAAACAATATGGACGTTTTATAATAAGGTTGGGGTACAGTTCGACATAACATTACACTGAATACAGTGTTTGTCAATATAACTATTATACCAACAAACACCTGCTCACATGGCAGCCAGGGCATAAAGTCTCTCTGGATGAATTATGTAAGATGTATTTGTAAGAAAATATTGGAAATCCCAAAATTGTACAAGTGAATATCTGATGACAAGGTTATATGAAGTGGTAAAGGGTTTTAATTGAGTTTTCATAAGAAAGAAAACATTAAAGCTCAGGAGCTTTCACTTTGAGATGGCCTATATTTAGCTTGAACTAAGAAAGGTTTTGAGACAGGGCGGATTTAACCGCTGTGAACACATTCATTTGTCACCAATGTCCAAATTACAAGTGGAATTAACAATATCCAAATTTATAGAAAGCATGGAATAGTGAATATTCTAGTCCTTCTCTCGATTGTTGAATACAGAGATACTAAATAAAAGGCTGAATGCAAATTATAGACCAACAACAGACCAACTTTTATAGAACACATTTAACTTTCTGTTATAAGTTTAGGAAAGAAAACTTTCTGCTAAAGTGAAGGTGTCAACAAATGTATTTTGTGTTTCTCAGAATGGACATACGGGTCTTATTAGACTGTGATGGGAAAAATAAAGCTGTGAAATACAAACAGGATTACTGTCTTCTGCATTTGACAAAGTGCTCCATTATGACCCCCAGTATTACTTAAGACCTTATTTGTGACTTTTTGGTCCATTTTTAAATTGAATCCTACAAGGGCAGACAGAAGTGTAAATCTAGAATTGTTTATTTTCAACTAATCTACATATATATATATATATATATATTCAGTGCTATATTTTGTTTTAATAACATTTACCCAAGTAAAAAAGATAGTAAATGACAGTCTCCTACTCTCTTTTAGCCACAAAGAGGTTGCAGAGGCCAACTTCGCTCTGCATGAAACGCACTGCAGTCGCTTCTTATGTCTCTGTCCTGACTGTGATGAATCAGTTCCCAGGGAGCAACTGAACCAACACAGAGAGGAACAGCACACTCAGGTAAACAGGTACACACACACACGCACGCATGCACGCACGTACGCTCGCACACACACACACACACACACACACACACCCTTATGTGTGTCATAAGGGTGTGTTCACAGCTCTGTTTGTGTGCAGGTGAAATGCTCCAAGTGTAACCAGAAGATGGAACGTCGTCACCTGATGGATCATGAGGTGAGTCCAGTGGTGCTGAAGGCTGAACATGAGGAGAGGTACACTATTGTACAGGACAAGAAATATCCCTCATGTAATCCATGTTATTATTTATTTAATATTATGTATTTTTATTTCTAATTTAAGTGATTTTTATATTTCTTTCCTCCGTTATAAGCTCCTGTGCGCCTGCTCATCACTGTTACTAGTGGCAACAAAGGACAAACTATTAATCGATAATTTAAGTAAAAACTTTTGAATATTCATAGAAAAAAAGACTTGTTTTAATGGGTTACAATGGAGGCATGGAGTTTGAAAGATGTCGGCGTTTATCAGGCAGAGAGGGTGTAAAGACAGATTGCATTATGGGAAATGTAGGACACAGTGTTAAGACACACTAGGGACTAAAAGTTATGATATCTCTAGACGTTTTCTAGATTGAAACTTCAGATCTTGACACCAGATTTGTGGTAAAAGTTCAATACAGTTTGTGACATTTATTTATCCATCTGACTCTGCTCTGCTTTGTCTCCCAGTCTGATGAGTGTGTGGAGCGTCTGCAGGCCTGTCAGTTTTGCGAGCTGGAGCTGCCGTCGAAGGAGCTGGACGGACACTGTCTGGTCTGCGGGAGCCGCACCGAGCTCTGCAAGGACTGCAACCGCTACGTCAAACTGAGGGACCAGCCGGAGCACGGCTCGACCTGCTCGGCTAACGACACTCCACCAGATACGAGTAAGGGGGATGCAGGATTCAGCACAAACTTCAAACCTCCACTATACTATTATCTTCTCTGATTAACTCTTGTCATGTCCATTCTCTTTCAGAAGCAAAAATTAGAGTTAACTGTAGCGGATGTATGGCATCATTTCCAGCTGAGGATATAAACAAACATGAGGTATATGTTTTTTTCTTAGCTGTTCTATAACACATTATGGGCACAAGTTCTCAAGTTAAACAGAGGTTATGTGGACCATGGGAAAAGCTTAATTAGATTGAATTAAATTATTAAATCTATAATAAGTGGGAGTTACATTTCACACAAATCTGAATAATGAAAGCAATCAATTAAACTTCTTTCCGTTATGTTTTGTTTGAAGTTGTGTGAGATAATGACCTGCATCAACAATTACATTTTTTGATTTATACATATTTGGCTGATGATGATGTCTGATGTGAACTATTGCAGCTAGTTTTGGGAAGAATCTAATTTCTGATAACTTTCCAAAATTGTGTTATTATATACTTTTGTTGTCCCGTACAATTTGTTGTCCTCCTGAATTTCCAAATGCTTAGTAGCTATTGCTTTATATGAAGCAGGACTATGTAGCCGCCACTGAAGCTATAAATGACAATCATGAGATAATGCTAGCATTTAGCTAAAATGCTAACAAATATAATAACAGTAGTACAAGTGGATAAGAGTAATAAATTACTGATAAATTACATATTCTATATTGTAAATTTTTGTAAATATCGAATTGTACATATTATATCATTATCTATCATTTATCATTCTAAGTATTTGTTTCTGACATTTTTCTGACAGTTTTTCTTTCTTTGTACTGGCCACTGCAAAAATATCTCATCTCATCTCATCTCATCTTATACAGCATTATTTTCCTAAAGTTGGCCACTATTATCTAACTTTAGCCGGCACAACTTACTGGTCATACCAGACCAAGAAATCCTGTGGCAGTAAAAGCTGTTAGCGTATTGAATTGAGCAAGGGGTTCAACTTTGACATTGTGCTTTTTTCTCTAGTGTGTGATAGTAATACTTTTGTCTGTATCTCAACAAACCAGCTGGAATGTACCTCAGAATCCACATGGCCAGATGACTCCGAAAACTCTGACTCAGAGGAGGGAGAGAGGGAGGGAGAGAGGGAGGACGAGAGCGATTCCTCCGGACAGGTGACCACTCCTCGGCTAAGCAGCGCCTACAAGGCAACCTCCCAGTCAGACAGACCCTACGGTGGTCCCTTGGTTAACGGAGGAGATCCGGACCAGATCAGCACCTGCCCCCACTGTCATCTGGCCCTGCCCCTCCTCACACTACGTTGGCATCAGGTAAAATTCCTGCGTTGCTCCAGATTTGTTTAAACATTGCTGAAAAGTTCCAATGATAAGAGGTTTTCCCACTTCTCTCTCTCTCTCTCTGTTTTTAGGCAAAGTGCCAAATTCACGTCCTCTTGAAATAAAGACAGAACTCCTCAGAAGAGATTTGCTGCTTCAGGGATCTCTGCTCAAAATGTCATTGACAAAAATGTGGGTTGCTGAGATGTGATTTGGCTGTTGACCTACATTAGATTTTTTTTATGTTTAAGTGCTGGGGTTTACATTTTGTTTCTACTTTCAGTGACCTTTAGTTTTTTAATTAGTGTTTGGATGTTTTTGTTCTTGGATGAAGAGAAGGATGTTCAGAATATAATACGCTGTTTCTAAGCAAACTAATTACTCCTGATAACTTTGTCTTGTCTTGTCTGTTAAATACAAATACAGCCATGAAACCATGATGCTACCTGCCTCTGTCTAAACCAGTGAAGAGAATGTTTTGAGTCAGAAACATCACACTGAGCAATTTCCAAAGGAGTTGCTGCTAAAGTCTGTATTAATACCTATTAAAAAGTTTACATGTCAAAATCTCCAATTCATTTCAAACACGTATATTTAAAAACATATCAAGATACTGCTGAAGCAAGTTCCTGTCACATACTGACAGTGTTTACATCTACATCTCTTAAAGAAGCTCTTAAATGTTCGTTTTTTAAATGAAAATGATTCAAAGGTTTTTTTTTGTATGTTTTTCATGAGGGAGTCAAACAAACCAGTATAAATATGTCAGATAACGCAAAAAATGTCACACTGACCAAACTGAAATCCTGTTTAGACCAAACTAAAGAGAAATAGACTGACACGTATTTTAAAGCTGAATTTTATAGAACTGCATTTTGAAAGAAATAATAGGTATCTGTCAACCTTTCCTGTTGCTGACTGCTCAGAAGTTATGTATGATAATGGGCTCTCTGTGCTGGCTGCAGATCACCTCATCAATGTAGAGAGAGCTGGTCTTGATCTCGATGTTTTCCTGCAGCTCCAGCTGGCAGCGAACAAGAGTCCTCTGCTCCCCCTCTGACCGGGCCACAGCCTCGTGCAGTCTGAGAGCACAGAGATAAAGAGACGCCGCATAACGACTTGTCCTGAAAGGTCAGGTCTCTAAACAGTACATCAGCCAGTGTGGGAAGAGCGGTGTTAAGTAATGACTTAATTAAGTAATAAATATATTTCAGAGGTTTTATTTTTCCTGCAGTCATTACACTTTCTGACATTAAATTTACCATTTTTATTACCATAATGTTTGAACTCTTCCCCTGGTTAAAGCTAAAGTAAACTAGCAGCCACAATAGCTGCAGCATAAATTTTTTTTAAATGCATATGTTGCATCGTCCATTCACATTAGAGGCGAGTGTGTCCCGGCTTTACCTGTTGATGTGAGCGGTGAGCTGCTGGACCTCGGCGAGGAGCTGGGTCTGTGCTGGATCGTGGCATTGCTCCTTGGCAGGTCTCTGGCGACGCACGTCCAGCCGGGCCTGGGCCAAACTCAGGAAATGCTCATTTTCTGTGATGGCCACCAGGAGATCCTCTCTGATCCTCTGCTGGCTGGCAAACTCAGACAGAATCTGGAGAGGAGGGACGTGTCACACAGAGGTCGACCAGTATTTACAGCACAGATAGTGAATTAGAAGCAAGATTCAAGCTACAATCATTCAAAAATGGTACAAAAACCTTGGAAAGAAATGGCACCAACTTATTACAAATATTTTCCTGGGACTATGAAATGAAGTAATACGTCATAAGGCAACTCTAAGCTATTATGAATACATTCACTCTTCATTACAGACTCACCTTTTAGTTCTCTTTTTAATGAACTTCTTCTTTACATTTTCTCTTTTTCATACAATACCACTGAGAGTAAATGAAAATATGTTTGTTTTTGTTATTGGGTGCAACAACCCTTTAAATATTGTTCCATTTCAGCACAATCAACATGCTGAAGCCACAGTTTCTCTGCAAAATTTGTACTTTCTACTTGTCCCACAGAGCTTTGAAGCCAACATTTTGTGAATGCCGTGTCAAGGGACGAGACGGTAACATTAAATCATGAATATTGATTATGCAAATACAACACAATAGTGTTTTTATGCTGAAGTTTAGGAGTGTTCACGTCTCTTGGCAGAATGGAAATGCTCCTGAAACAGCTTTCAAACCATGTGCTATTAAAGCGTTATTAGTATCAACTCCAGTGTGATTCTGTTGAAACCAATTTTCCCTTAGAAAAAAGCCAGTCACATTATTTTCCACTTCTTCATCCATAGTGAAAACATCATCACTGACCGACTAATATCTAATTTTCAATAAAAACTCAATATTAACATGATAAATCAAAAATAAATTGACTAAATTTTTCTAAAAACATCTGCCTCCCACTTGTTTCTTTTCACCTCTCTCTCTCTCTCCCTGCTAAACGCATCCTTACCTTGCTCAGCTGATCCTCCATCTGGCTCTTGGCAGACTTGATTTCCTGGACGTTCAGCTGAAAGGATTCTGTAGTGACCTGGACCTGCTTCTGCATGTCAGCGGCCGTCTGCTCCAGCAGAGACTCCACCAGGGCCCGTAGGGACAGAGAGTTGGTCTTCTGCTGCTCCGCTTTGGTTATGTTGATCTCTGAGATGTTCTCCCACTGCTTCGGAGTCACTGTCAAGCTGAGAGACGGACAGTTATATGACGGAGCCCCTGCAGACGTACGCCGATAACGTTTTTACCTCAAAGACGTTGTAGATCACCTTGGCAAAACAGTGAGGGTGTTTTTGAACTTCTGCTGATTTTTGATGGAATTGGTGGTCATGATGGCGCAGGAGTTGTCGATGCACTGAGCCTCAAATTTTTCCTTCAGATCCTGCTCTAAATGGTACTTGGCAGATCGGTTCAGTCTGGAACACACGACAGTACGTTTAGTCTTGGTTTTTACTGTCGACTCTAGTCAGTGATGTTTTCTTTCCCGGCAGGTTTCAAGACAATAAACATCATAATGTCCATTTGATTTGAGTCCATATAATCTTTCTTACCGTATCTGCTCAGTGATCTGCTCCAGCACGCGCTGCAGGAGGGAGGCCACCCCCTCAATAACCTCCCTCTCCTTCAGCAGCTCTCTGTCCACATCATCGTGCACCCGCTCAGAGGGAAGACGTTTCATTCTGCAGGTCACAGAACAAACACAAAGAGCTTCACTCGTCTGCTCGTCCGTACTGCCGCTGCAACCAACCCTCTTTCTTCTCTTAACTTCTACTTTAAATAACTTTTTGATTATAACTTTATTCCCTTACACAACATAGTGTTGTAGCCCTAATTCTGCTGGTGACATAAATCCTTTAACCTTATTGAGGAGGAGCGGGCAGTGAATTTCTTAATTGAAATGGCTTTACTTTTTTCATTTATACATGAGCTTCACAGAGAAAAAAGGTGTTGAAAGTTTGGACCGAATTACAGCAAACTAAAGACAGAAGAGATGTAATTTGCAAGGGAAGTTTCTGAAGTAGCAAAACACTACAATACATTTTTCCTCTAGCTGATCAAGATCCCTTTTTATCCTCACCTCTCCTCCAGACAGACAACAGTGACTCTCAGAGGCTCTTTACAAGCCTCCAGGGCCATCGCCACTCTGCCCTGCAATGCTATGAGGACATCGATTTCCACAATAATCTCCTCCAACTTCACCTCCAGCTCCTTCTTCAGGAACTGGATGTCTCTGACCCGCTGATCTGAAAAGCAGAAGAAAAAAAAAAAAACCCCACTGCAATTCACCTCTGAAGTCTGTGCAATGTCGACACAGACAAGCTGATTTTTTATTCCTCCACTTACCCAGCCGCTTGTTGTCATCATTTTGCATGCGTTTACATGCTTTATCGCTCTCTAGGATAAGCCTCATACATTCGGCTCTGAAGAGCTCTGAGTGGTTTCGCATAACCTCAATACTGACTAGATTAGGTCCACTATTTTGCAAGGGGCTGCGCTCCGGAACCGACATTGTTCTCCAGCGGTCAGTCACTGACAGTATAGACAGGAAGGAAGAACATAAAAGGAGATGTGTTAACTTTTGCCTTTGCCTTGATGAGCTCATAGTGCAACAGGACAGTCATGACAAAATTCTACATGGCATACGACTAATAAAAACATAAAAGTACATTATAAAACACACAAATGTAAAAGATAAAAACGATATACATGCAGTCAATTAAGAGGTTAAATAACCTAAACATATTAAAAACACACAAACCATGAATTATTACAAAGACAGCCAACAAAAAACAAAATATGCCTCTAAGTGCAGGACTTAATTAGCATTAAAGAGTCAAACAGCCACAGGAAACGTTTTTATCTTAAACCACTCAGATATAAAAAAAAGTTATCTTAATCTCCATCCAGAGGACATTTCCTCAGTGAGAGGTGCTGCTGGGTGAAAATCATCTCCAACGACATTTAAGGCCTTTAGGTGAAGCTGAACTTTATATATTCATGAAATGTCAGAAAGAAATAGGAACACTTAAACACACCATGCAAATGTACTGTTGAACGAAAAAAGTATTGGGTAACATTGAGAACGTGACTGGTTTACAATGCCTGAAACAGTGGATTGAAGTATTCAAGCACTGTCATACATACAAATAGGCATTATGTGATTTAGCTGCGTTAGGTATTTGCTTTGAAATGGATATATGTAACTACAATTGTTACAGGTTTTCCTTAATGAAAAGGTTTAATTAAAAAAAGGAATAAAAAACATGTTAATTTGTATTGAGAGCTACAAAAAACAGTGAGCGTTAACGTTATTAGCCCCCACAGTTAACTTTTAAGCTAGTTATCGGTTGAAAATGACATTATTTGTCGGTTCTTGCTAGCTTTGTAACGTTACACAAAAAGATACATTACAGCAAAATAAACAAATAAATGATTAAATACAAGTATCGTCTTTGAACGTACCTTGTTCTGTGCGGTTAAAAAAAACACGAAATGTAGCAGTTTTAATGTCTTCAGCGTCTCGCTGGAGTTCAGATGTAACAAAACAAACGGTTACTATGGCAACACATGACACGTCATGGACGGACGCGGTCAGTTTTACTGGAGCTGCTGTCATCTTGAAATGTGACAGTTCTGATGCTAAAAAATTCAAAATCATTAGCTAGAAGTTACAGTTACTATTGAATCACCTTGCGCAGGTTGTAAATGATCTAACGTTATAATTTGACACAAAAAAAGATGCCAGAAATTTTACTGCTAATGACTATTTATAATAAAAAAAATGTGTAATCAATGTGCCACACAAAGAATAAAGTGAGACTCATTTAATATTTGCATTTGCAAAGCTATACATTTGTTGGTATTCTGATACAGTACATTACATTTCATTATCCTACTAGTTAAAATAAAATAAGTCAACTCTTTAGTTCAAAAATAAAATTAAAATAAAATAAACAGTGACATTATAAATTGGCTAATGTAATTGATTCCAGCAAGCCAATAACAATATCCAGTAAAAGAAAATCTTCATGGAGCTGAAAGTTTAGAACAGCAATTTTTAAAAATCAAGAGGATGTCAAAACAAGGAAGTCCATGAAAACTATGCCAGAAATAATCCAATGAATGTTAATGATACACACTGTATCAAAATTGAGCAGCATAGTACAGTACAGTAAATGTAAAGCGACAATCATTTCAAAGGCACTTGTTGAATCCATATTGTACTCTAAAAACAAGGTATTCATATTCTTTCTTAATACGCACTAATATTAATGAATAAGGTTGTTAATACTAATTCCTTACAATAAACAGTGCAACATGTCTGTGACGCCACAAACAGTAAAAAGGGAATGATTACTATTAAGAAAAGCTGCTGGTGGGTTAATGATACCGCAAGCTGAAAATGAGTCATCAGTAATCTGCTCCTCAAAAAAGTTAAATTTATATTATAGATATCTGTTTTCAAGTTCTCCAGGAACAACTGAAGTTAATTAAAATGCTATGAGGAGAAAATCAAAACTGCCAAAATCTTTTCTTATCTTTCTATAGCAGTCCACTCACACACCAAGGTAAGATATTCTGTGAGCCCTATGAATATTACAAATAACATTTAACATTTAAACATATACACACAAATAGATCAAGCTTACATACTGCAGCTTTGCTTTCAAGACAGTTTCACAGATTAAGATCAGCCCTGCAGGTCTAATAATTATATTTTATGATGAAGAATTCTTTTAATAAATACAGCATCTTTTTAAAGATATGAGTGGAAAGGAAAGAAAAGAGTCAGATCAACTTATATTTAATACCTCAATATATCTGAACTTCTCCTCATTTCTGTCTTAAAGGTTTTTATTCAATCGTTATCTGTCAGCCAAATCTCTGAAGTCTGTGGGGGCCACCAAATACAAGCTTCATTTCAGTCTTCTCTCAAACTGAAGTAAATTGGGCCAAAACAATAATCTAAACAATTAGCAAAAGACAATATAAAATGTCACTAACACTTGTCAGCAAAAATGCCTCGTTGATACAAATGTGTTGTATAAAAAACATGACTGGTCCCATTTCATCCTCAGTTTTATTAGGATAGCGTTATTTCTGACAGACTACATGTTCAGTGGTCCCACAGACTTCAGCAGAGTTTGAGGTGACATGTTGGTTGTGCAGTGACTCAGTTTTTATTTTAAGGTTGGGCGTTTCCTTTTGGCTCCTTCCTCCTGCAGGTATGAAGCTCTGATTATCCCTCCAACAAGGAACACTATTTACTTTAAAGCTTTTAGCCAGACTGAAACGAACACATGGAAAGTCGACTCCTGCTCCAGCATCATATTTGCCATGAGCATGCTAATTGGTCACACAAAGGATAGACATCTCTTCATGTTTGCTAAGCCAGCAGTGAACATTTGCCTCAGCAGTGAACCATGCATCAACTGTGATCACACAGTCACAAAATAGAAAAAATGGACAAAGAGCTTTGTTAATTTCGTGATTCCCTTTTCCTTTTCTTAACGGTAGCAGGTTTGTTCTGGACTTTCTACGAGTTCCAGCTTTTCTTTGAGCCAACGCAGCTCTGACAGCAACTTCAGCATCTGGAGGTTTTTTTTTAAATAAATATTTCGATCCATAAAGACAGAACTTCCTTTTTATCAACTGACACACACGAAGCAGCAGGCCTTAACATTTCCTACAACATACTCAACCTTCTATTTTATCAATACATCTAACTCAGGGCTTTTCAAACTGACACATCAAGACAACTGCAAGGGATATAAATTAGTAAACTGTAGGCTACAACTTGAGCTAAATTTTTTTTTTTTGCCTGTATTTGTTTACATTTTGGAAAATTACACCATTAAAACTATGCTGAATTAGCCATTAACAGTTTAAGTGATGATTCTCAGGCAAGTTCTGGATTTACAGGAACTTTCTTCCTACGATTTGTAACGGATTAACAGACGTTTATTAGAGATGAACACTAGAGATAATATTGGGGAAGATTAATCACTTCACCAAATCAAAAAATATGTGAATCATGTGTGTGTTCAGTTTTAACTGAACAGGAATATAAATTTTGATAAAGCAATCAAGCACAAACGATTTTAAAGTTTCTTAATAGTCTTGATGAGCTGTGTGATCCGGCCTCCAGCTGTTGATCGTATTGATTAACAGGGCAAATACATAGGCCGAACGACATAAAGCGGCCTGTATGCACCTTCTCTTTCACCTAACACAGTATGTTACCTCATGTCTCTCTCTCCACACACCCATGGGGAAGTGTTTCAAAATCTCCGGTCTAACCTGGTCCCTCCCATTCCTCACTAACCAACCACATGGCAACCAATCAAAGGTTTTCATCATACTGCATGACCCTATCAGATTCACTGCTGCACCGCGTTTTAGCCAGCAAGACAAAGCTGGCACTTCTTCGCTCAGGTTAAGGCCAATTTTAAATTTGAGTTTCCATTAATTGTCAGGTTTTAAATCAGCTTTTAAACTCAACTTAACATCTGTACAGGAAATGTGACCATAGAAACCAGTTGTAAAAAAAAAAAAACAACCAAAAAAAGCATAAAGTGTACTGACCAGAGGTGTAAGTAACTAATAACCAAACCAGGAGCTATAGAAAGGTCAGTGGTGACATGTGAAAGCATGAACAGGCAGTGTTTCCTAATCTGCTCTTTCAGCGGCAGGTTAAGATGCACAGTGATGAAAAGCCTTGGGTAGTCCAGGCCCCGGACAGTGTCATCTCTACATCATACCACAGCTATGAATCACTTCCAAAGCTCTTCACTCTCTACGGTTTTGTCTAGTCCGTTAATCTTCTCAGGAACCAAGCCTTCCTCGATGGCTACCTTGGACTCGTGGACCTAAAAGAGAAAGCGGCAGATCACCCTGGTGCTCAGTTTAAATCAGTTTCAGGTTGTCAATTCAGATGAAGGGAAAATAATTATCCATTAGTGGACTGATCTGGGGATACAGTATGTGTTCCCACAGTATGACTCACCTTGAATGGTTCACTGATTCCAATGATGCTCCGCAGAGTGCTGCTGTAGTAGCACAGCACACACTCTCCTCCCCGCACAGGGATTTCCTCCTTACTAACATACACCTACAAAAACAGAGGCACGTTTAGAAGACATGTTGGGATTTTCTAGTGCTTTTACTAACTGGTGAACGAGCTACTACCTGTATGATTTCCTCATTGAAGGCCACCTCGTCATCTTTGACCCATGTGTATGTGATGTAGTCTGTGATACTGGTGAATCCAACCTGAATGTCACAGAAAACTTTAAGACTCTCGTACTGCAATATCACATTTTAAACTGACAATTATAAACGGATGTTGTTTCACCAAACCTTATAGAGTCCGATCCAGTCCCACATACTGGAGGGGAACGGCTGCAGAGGGCTGTAGAGAACCATGGCATCGATGTCTGCGCTCCAGTCGCCCTCCGGCTGCAGACGCACCAGAGGAGTCTCGTGCATCTTCCTCAGCTGGAGGCGAGGGGAAATAAACTTGTGAAGTGAAACTGTCGTGGATTTTGATACAAATGAATCAGTAAATAGCGATTTCTCTTTTGTAAATGTTTAAAAAGGATAAATCCTGTTATTGCAACTTTAGATTTTCTTTTCATAAGTTGGGCCACAAGTGAGGGATCTGGAAACAGGGCGACATCGCTAATAATTCTGACGGGGAGAGAAACGAGACGATGCCAAACATGGCCACGCTTGTTTTAAAAAGTCTGTGTTCAACTCTCAGTTCTTCTGTAGCTTCGACCTGAGTTTCACTTCTTATTTTACTGTTCATTGATCGTTTTCAGTCACATCGGTTACTGTTGATGATGCAGATCTCAGCAATTACTTTGGTGAATACAACATATCTATAACCAATAGAAACAATGACCTAAGACAATAAAGAGTAACTATCCTTTGAAGCCCTTTAAAAGATGAGACTGGCAATAATCTACAGTTTTGTTATTGTAAACAAATCACATGAAAAGACCCAAACTAACAATGCATGAGTTTGTCTTCTAATCCTAACTGACTTTACAAGCTTGCTTATGGTTTTTAGTCTTTTAAAAACATTTATTGTTGGAGAGCTGAATGGTTACAGCACACTCGTAAGTGCAGTATCTATTGTTTAATTCTGGCAGGAGCCCTATGTTGCATGTCGCTCCCGTCTCTCCCCATGTTTCCCATCTTCCTCTTCATTATCTACTAACCTTTAAAAACATTTTCACAAACAGCTCAGTGACTCCCTTAAAACTGCTGTTTTTTAGCGAGTGTGACTCAAACACAAAGTGTCTGAGGGATGGTTAATTGTATCTGTGTCATTCTGGAGAGCACAGCCTGTGTTCCAGTTTCTCACCTCCAGTGTGAAGATGCCGATGACAGGCTTGTGGTCGCTGATGCTGTACTCCATGTTGCTGGTGTACAAGTCCTGCCTGATCTTCAGAGGGTACTCCTCGTCCTCCTCCAGCTGCTTCGCGTCCACAGTGTTTTCCTCCTGCTCATCGGCAGTCGTGGCTTTGGATCTGAGTCGCCACAGAATCCTGTCGGTCCAGGCAGGTTTACGCTTCTTTCCGCTGGACAGGTTGAACAGACGGAGAACAGAGAGGAAGGGGCTTCAGTCAGCAGAAGAATCAACACTGTGGTGAGATCCATGACCGAGTAATGCATGAGGAAGTGGGGAGGAAACTTAAACATGGGAAACTATATAATGTTGAGACAATAACTCAACCCTACATGACATACAGGGTGAAGACATCAAGACACACAAGTTTTTAAAAAAAGGAGTAACCTGACAGAATTCATCTTACAGTAAAATATTTCCACATCAAGCAACACTGACATTTCCTGCAGTGATTTATGCTTAAAAACGTTTTTGTTTTTCTTGTCATATCTTTATATATTTGAAGAAAGGGCAGCCTGCATGAAAGAAATGATGAAAGATGTATAGGAGACATTTTCTATGTCATGTTAATCTATATTATTACAACTCTGCTTCTTCTTCAGACATACAGTTTTTTAAAGTGTTAAGAAATAAATGTTGAAATGTGGAATGACTTTACTAGTGCTGTACATCTTAAAGCAACTACGAACAGCTCTTTGGTCTTTGTGACAGTAAATGTGACGTAGTTTCTTCATTACAGACTAAACAACAGCTGTTGTTGCCAGGCAACCTCCAACATAACTGGTCCCATGTGTGAGTTATATCCAGTTATAAACCAACAGACACATATTGAATTAACCAGACATAAAATCCACATTGCCAAAACATCCATTTCTGGCCATGCATGTTAGCTGTTGAGTAGCAGCTGTTCTGTGTTAATGTAGACCACTAACACTTTGTTATTTAAAGGTACCCTGCCGAGTGTAAACAAATACAGTTTATCGCAAAACCTGAGGCCTGATTATTGTGTAGAATGTCTTTTCTGTTTCATAAGACATTTGTAAAACCGATTTTAAAATATTTCAAAATCTGAAATGTTTACATCCACTAAAAATCTTCTTATAGACGGACTTTTGCTGGTACATTGCTATGCATTACCACCATCACCAGTGAAATCAAATGACATTGAAATGCATGTGATATAAACAAAACAGGGGTCCACTTATAAAAAACATTTCTGTATAGTGTCACTGGTGGTCCTAAACTCCACAGGGTACCTTTAATAACAATATCATCTCCTGTAACGACAGGTCTGTGAGCTCAGACAGAGCTCTGTAAAATAAACAAGCATTTCTTTTCAGAGACGACCTGATGTTTGTCTGAAAAGGCTGTTAGCTGTCTGCTTGTTTAGTTTGTTACAGGTGAAGATAATCTTTATTAAGCCTTTAAAACGTGGTTAAAAGTTACTGTATAAAAAAGAGGATACTACTTTTACTGGTTTATTAAAAGTTGTGTGTAAACACAAACTGATGTAGCTGGGTGGATTAAGACAGAGGTAACCTGATAATATTAAGGGGGGATTTGGACACAAATGTGCTTTGCACTCTTACTTAAAGCCAAACCATGTCCTGTAGAGCCTGTGAAGTTGGAAACAGGTGCAGATATAAATATTACAAGAGGCTGAGTGATTTACAAAGTAGAATTATGATTAATTAGGATTGATTGTGTTGATATCTCGTATGTCACCTGGAGACACTTACCTGCTGTCATAAGTATCAGAGTTTAAATCAAACTTGTACGTGGGTTGAAAGTCCAGAGGCCCTTCGTCAAACTCCTGAAGCAGCTGTTCTTTCTTCTTCATCATTAACAGCTGCAAATGACAACGCATATATTCTCACAACTTCCCAAACTGAGACGAACCATGACTAATAAAAGTCATGCACCAACCATTCAAGTGTTGTGCTGAGACCCTGCTCTGTCATATGACCAGGAGTTAATTACCCTATAAACAGCTGGATGAGTAGCTAAGTGTCAAACCTGGTCTTTGCTCCACAGCAGGTTGTAGGTTTGATTGTTGATGCAGGAGCGGACAAAGTGCATGCCGTGGTCCTGAATGCGGAAGTTGAGATCTCCAAACCAGAAGACCAGCCTGGAGATACAATGAGACAAATGAAGCTTCATATTCTTTAAACATCTCTTTGGGTAAACTGGGGTTTTTTATTCTGTACAACTACTCACCTGTGGTCGACGATTCTTGGAGCCTTCTTACATTCAAAAGTCTGCGTGTCCATGATGCGCTCAAACTCATCCACTCTCTCTGTGGCATATTTCATGTGAGCAGCCAAGTGGCAGTTGAGGAAGCAGAGCATGTGGCCATAGAAGGACAGATGGATGGACACGCCCCCTTTGTTTCCCTGAGAGACAAACAGGAAGAGAAGACACCAATGTAACTTCAACTAAGACGGAAACAAAAGATAAAGTTATTAACTTATATCAAGTGTAGACAGACCAGCTCACAAAATCAGATGAGATAAGATGCTAAACATTTACTTCTGCTTCTGTGTTTTCGTTCATCAATGTGACAAACAGTGGGATGTGGGGGCATTTTAATCACACATTTAGTTCCAGATCTTATTAAAAAAGGGAAGTGAGCCTATTTTAAAGGTGTTGGGGAGCACGAGTGCTTATGCAAATAAAGTAGGATGAAGTCTGTGTGTGTGTGTGTGTGTGTGTTTGTGCGTGTATATCTCACCCAATAGCCGAAAATGCCTGTTCGTGTGTAGGTGGCCTGGATGTCTCTGATGAAGGGGACGTGCTCCAGCTTGGAGAAGAAGAGCAGCAGCAGACCCTGCATTCTGATGGATGACACCTGAAACACACACGCAGTATATACAGTAGCAAATGTGGCATTTCATGTAAATCTATGCGCTGTTAATATCTCATCTCACAATGCTAAAATTACAGCCATCAAACGTCTCTTACTGAAAAATAAAAATGACAGTTCTGTTATTGTTAACCTGTAAAATGATAATGTGTGTGTAGGTGTAAGAAGGTGTTTTTAGATCTGTACCTTAATGTATTTCCGTGGTGCCAGGATAGACATGAACACATGACTCCACGGGTCGTCGAATACAATGTCCGACACGAATCTCAGCGGCCTGGAGTACACCTCCTGCAGACTAACGTACACGCAGTTTTAATTGTCAGTCACCCTGCCACATATCCAGTTACATAAACAGACTACTGACCCCTCCAGCACCTACCCGATGACGTAGAGGTCTGGGCTCTTTGGGGAGTTCAGATGGAGAAGTGAGGTTAAATCACCCGCAGGATCAACTGTGGCCACGTTCCATGTGACTATGTGCAGCCTGTGGGCGTGGAAGACAGTCATTTACACATTACTTCACATCAGAATATATACATACTGAATCAGTGATAGATGGACAATGTTATTAGGTATGACAATATCCCTTTAAAATATACAGTATCACCTCACAACTTGTTAAAGAGCTTCATTCAGCGCAGCAAACACCAAAGATGATCGCATCAACGAAGTTACAGTGAGCTCAAAGCTGTTACAGTATAAGTCCTGTGCTGCTACAGTTAACACATAATGAGACAAGTCATCTCTGCACCCACGCTCACAACATCCATAACACTTCATTTTCTCTGCTCTTTAAAAGCACACTCAAATGTTTGACAAAAGTTCAAAGAACAGTGTTCTACTGGAGGGTTTCAATTACCAAGAATCAAAAGTGTCTTTTGTTGTGCAGGTCATTGAACCCACAGGAGAGAAATCCATGAAAGAATGTTAAAGAAAAGGGTAAAAAGGATATTAATAAAAAGGAGAGAGTGACATCAATTCTGTACAAAAACTCAGACTATCTCCACCTTCAGTACACAGAGAAGACAAGCAGAGAGGCGACACTCGTTCTCCACCTGAAACTGTCTTTCTTCGGCTTGTTGGCTCTCTTGCCACAGATGAGGAAGGCGTTATCCAGCGTCTTAACCACTTTCTCGTGCAGCATGTTTTTGGGGTCCAAGTCATCCACGCAGGTCATCAGCTGGTTGAGCCGATGGCGCAGGACCAGTTTGCTGCCCGTCGACTGCGTGTTATCGCTGCAGAGGCTGTCAGAGCGGACGCGCCCTACCGTTCCAAACAGCCTGCTGATTTCATCCATTCTGGCTCAAAGTGTGAAGTTAAGCGAGGTCGGCGGTCTTCTGACAGTTCGCAGTGTAAGAAAAAAAAATCCCAAATTTGATGATTTCAGGAATGTCTGGATTGCACGAAGGGGAATCAAATGAGCAACAGTGTGAAGTTGTGGTGGCTCCTGCAGAATCAAACCACGGAGTGAAATGAGGAAAGTCCTGGCTCCACAGTTGGACCGAGTGATTAGTGAATTGTTTCATTTGTCTACAAATCTTCTTTGTGTGCTAAAAACAGCATCTAATCTTATTGTAAAATGTTTCAACATTAGGCCTATTAAAAAAAATTAGGAAACCAACTTGCATGTGTGAACATAAAATTTTTTTCTTCAAATCCACATTATTGGGAAACCTAATCCACCTGCCAGAGTGCCAGTGGATTTGTAGTCAAAACTGCATTGTGTTTAGCCTTGCAGCACATTCTATCTTAAATGAGACAGACAATTATGCTTTCAGGAAAGCCTTGGAGTTCTGGTACCAGCAGCAAACACTGACACGAAGAGAAGAAAGAGAGAGAAGAAATGATAGAAATATTTTGCAGCTGTAGAAAGAAAAAGGAGTAAAGAATAATGATGACCTTGTAAACCCTGTCTTTCAAACTTGGACCATGTCATCTCTGTTTACAGAAGGCAGCAAGAAACTGACAACAAGATCAACACAAGGCGTGACCATGAGGCGATATCTGCTGCTCCCGTATGAATCCGAAAATGAATCAAGCTGAAGCCAAATAAGGAGGAAGGTGAGAAAAAGACTGGCGCTTTGAAAACTCCCCAAATCACAAAAACTGACTCAAACAACATTAAAGCCATAAGAAATCTCAATTGAAAAAAAAACTGACCAATTTAGAAAAATCATTCCCACAAACTCTTTTGAGTTCTACAGTAAATAACTTTCACTAATCCCCTGATCACAATACCATATTTCCCAGTGTATAATTACGGTTCTTTACAGTTCAACAGGCACTGATTGCTTGTTTCACAACACAAACAGTTCCCCTGGATTACAAAGGCAAGAAATTAAGTTTCATATGAGTCTGCCTTCACCTTAAACAGTGTGGTTTGAATGACAAGAAAAGTCTATAGTCTACAACTGGGTTTCACAATAGACTGTGGGAGTCAGAGTTAAAATGAACTCTGTCCAGGAACTATTCACTGACAGACACTTCGAATCAGTGAATAATTAAACAAGACACAAAAGCAGTTTAATTCCCACATATCACCACATTTATGATGATTTATAAAGTAGGTCATTTTATGCCTGTGTCAGTGCAAGTGTGCAGCAATTTAATATAAAATATCTCAGGCCGAGGTCCATTCATAAATCCAGCGTTTGATTGTACTGCTTATTGATAATATGTCTGACACCTTTTTTTTTTATTTTATTTTTTTTAACTATGGTAAAAACACGGCGTATCAACATAATATCAAGGAACATGTGGTCAAGCAATTTATTAGAGATTATTTTCCCTCCTGTACACCGTGAGAGGCGGTGACCCTCAATGAAAGCTCATGGGCTGTGGGTTAGAAAGTTTGCCAAGAAGCAAACGTGGATACAACAGTGACCGCAGGGCAGAGGCCAACCTGAAACTGTCCCCGGCGGAGGTTCCCTTCTTCAGACTGGGGTCCGGCTGCTGGACTTCTGACTGCTCCTCATTCTCCTCCATCATCTCCACACCCGGGAGCAATGAGGCAAATCCGCTATAACATACACTACGGCAACTGAACCGCTGCTGGAGCCTGAACAAAGTGAAAAACACAAAGTAAATACAAAAAAATAAAGGTTTTGTTCCGTATCACTGACCGTTAGCTAACATTGCTAACTCTCTTTTAGGTATATGACTGCGGAAGTGTCCGACAGTTACAGAGCTCGTGTCATAATTAACGTATAGCTAACTTATAGCCTAGCTAACCTAACGTTAACATCACGCCCCGCTGCTCTTTTACTGTAAATGTTACTTACAGGTGACGCTAGCTACACTGCGCAGCTAGCTAAACGGGTTTTTTTTTTAAATCAAACATTTAAAACTCGAGCTAAAAACATGAATAAATGAGGGAGGTTTATCGTACACTACCTGATACGCTTTGGTAGCACTTGTTTTCGTTGTTAATCTACTTGTGGATCAACGCACGGTACTATCATCAGCAGCCTGCGTACAGTCGCTGCCGTTGACCCCGCCCCTCACCCGGAAGCGCCGCTTTCAAAATAAAATCATACCATTTAGATGCTTCTATTCTGAAATAATCCCACTTCATGTTTTATTGTAACTGCGAGTGAAGTAAAATGTACAAATACACAAAAAGCAAGGAACAAATATATTGTCTTTAATAAACTAGACAATCATATAACTCATTACATTAAAATACAGGTTATTTCATTGAACACAGACTTACAATGACAGAGCCTAGGCCAAACTTTTTTCTTTTTTTTCTTTTTTTTAACAGTTATCAAGACAGAACTGCTTCATGTGTCAATCATTTAGAGATCTGCTCAGAGTTCAGGTTTTTCTTACATATTATCATCACTAACACTCAAAACCTCAATCCAAAATTATAATTAAAACACAGCAGCTGGCATCATATAAAGGTAAACAAACCGCACAACCAGCAGATGGTGCTGTCAGACCAGGACTACTCTGTATATTAAATGTCTCTGTTGGAGTATTTTCAGTGTAATTACCTCATACGATATAACTTTGCCTCCAGCTACCATGTCATGCTGTGTAGTTTAAGAAAACAGAGCAATAGTGTATTTTGTGAGATCAGGGAAGAAATTTATCAAAAGCACTGAAGTCTATTTTATTTGTCAATTATAAAATAAAATAAAAACATTTAACTCTGGAGCTTTTGCGTAAAGAGAAGACAGCAGACTTGCTCTTGTAAGTAAACAATAAATCACTGAGAAATGGAAAATATAAAATCAAGGAATAGAACAAAACCCAAATAACTGCCATTAAAAAAAAGGATATCAGTAATCAGGAATGTTGCTTAAGAGACAACCCACACCTGTTCCTCAGCGTTTTAAAATTTAAGAGGACCAAATAGGCATAAGCAAGAACTTTTCATCCCCAAAACGGATTCCCCAACTCGCAAACTTGTCTCTTAAAAAAAAAAATAAAAGCTCCTATGGTTGTATTCAAATGTAGTCCATAAATGCACACACATGCTTTACAATAATGAGCTCTTATTAAGAGCAAGTTTTACTAGGATATTAGTGTGGTATTCTTGATTATGCCTATCAAGCTGTTCTAGGTCCAGTGTCCGAGGCGAGGAGTCTGAACTTGCTGAAGAAAGTCAAATCCCCCTGTTTCAGAGAGAACAAAAAAAAAAAAAAGATTAATCCTGTTCAAAATGCTAAAATATTAAATTTCAGCAAAACTGTAGTTTAATACTCACTGTGTTAGCCCGCAATCAGTCCTCAGCTGACATCCCTTTAACTTCATCATTCTGCCTCATCTACGACACAGAGAGAGATACGTCGCTCAGAAATGTACTAAAGAGCCTGATTTGTTTTATTCAGCACAAAAACCGATGTTGGGAGCAAAACAATACACCCGAATCCATTTATAGCATTAGCATTACTTAATATCAGTCAGTAGCTGTAGCATTTGCTTCAGCTTGACAGTTACTCCTCATTATATGGAAGGCAGCCTGCCCTCTCTCTTTTATACAGTGGATCAAGGTGAGAAACTGAGATTCACTTTAAATGGATCAAAATATAACTGAATCTGGTTGGTGGGATATTTTTCTTGTATAATATTGTTGTCATTGTTTTATTTGTATGTATTCTTATTTGTGGATACTGTTTCAGTTATCTGTTAGTTATATTAATTTTTGCCTTGATCCTTGAATCTTTATGGTTCACTTCCATACTCCAGACTTATTCTGTTATTAAAATACTGTATATAAATAGACTTTATGTTACACTTAACATTTGTTTAACTGTGTTGTGTTTTTCGTTGTCATTGCTTGACTGGAGAAATGAACCCACACCCACAATACATGAAAATATCTTGTCTACATCAGTCATATTATATGATTTAAATAGTGTTTCCTAGGCACTGACAGTATCTTTTTCGTGTTATGTCAACGTATCAACTCGTCACGTTATGGTAAGAAACAGTTCTTGTTTTAATGAGTGTGCTCAGTCACCTCATCCAGCTCTTTCTTTGTCTCTTCCTCCATACGTCGTATGTCATCCATCGACAGATCGAACCATTTGTCGATCCAGCAGAACAGCTGTCTGTGGAAGTGGGTGAACAAACGCCTCTCCACCTGGACAGAGAAACAGGGAGGGAAGATTAGACAAGAGTACAGGGTGATGTACGCAACAAACATAAACAACAAATTTTCTACCTTTTGAATGAAGTTTTCTATCTTGCCCTGTAGTCCCAGCCACTTGAATTCAACAGTGACTAGTTTATAGGCACACATGTGTGGACAGTTGGGGTTGTTAGCGAGTTCTTCCTGCAAACACGCAGATGACACAGATAACATTAAAACACAGTCTCCTTTAAACCCAATGATGTCATTTCTTTAATGGAGCGAGCCACAGTGAAGGTGAAGTGAGGCGAGGTGTCGTACCTTCCAGTCCGGTCCCAGAGGCCCTCGACCCGTCTTCTCTGATTTAAAGATGGCTGGATCATGATCCGCTTTGTAGTCCTAAAGAGTGAATGCAACCAGTGCAATGATAAACACTGTGACAAATATAAAGCAGCCTAACAAGCAGCAGGTTTATCAAACTGAATGTTTAGCAGATCGATGTGTTAACTCAACAATCAGCTGCTGACGGGAGAAATCTGAAGAAAAACCTGCACTCGTTTCTGAAACACATGCAAAAAGTGTTTCTCTTACCTTTGGACTTATGCAACTTCTGTCCGCAATGTCAATGTTAACAACCTCAGTTGCTGCCCATGAGCTTTTGTCTAGTCCATGCACCTGCAGCAAGGCAAGAATCCAACCGTCAGTCAGGTAAATACAAAGAAAACATATCAGCCTTAGTGACAACTGACCAACATCTTAAATCCTAAAAGACCCCCAGATAGCGAAATGGCCCAACACATGCCTGGGTCCCCGGTCCGAATCTGGCCCATATACTTCCACTGTTCTCCTCTAGAGTTTCCATTTTCTGTGTGCGCGCCAGAATCGGCCCAGAAGTGGAAGCGGCATCTGACGATCATGCTGGATATGGGCCAGACTCGGGCCGTGGAAACATAAGCATGTGGGCCAAGTATGGGCCGGATTAAATCCATGATACAAACGTAAAACAAAATGGCAGCCCACCATTGATATTGACGACACAGAATTAGAACCCTCAATAACTTCTGGATTGATTAACAGCTCTTTAAACACAGTCTAATAATTCTTTAACTTCTATAAACACAGCAGTAACACAAGACAGTCATTTTAATCGCTTATTTCTCATCATTGAGTCCAACTGATATATTCAACTACACCTGTAATGTATTAGCTGAAAGTGTGCGGTGGTTCGTTGCATTTCCGGATGACATGACTTACATTATCCTGATCCCCCATGTCAGGTTTGTGCCACGTCTCGATCTTAATCATGAAGTTGCTTTTCATGTAGGTATTCTGTAAGCGTGGAGACACACACACACACACACACACACACACACGCACACACGCACACACACACACACACACACACACGCACACACGCACACACACACACACACACACACACCCACACACACACACGTGGTGCGGTCAGTCAACATACTGTTCCATGTGCACACACCAAGTGATTAAATTAAAGCTTGTCAAAAAGAGGCACAGTGCATCAATGTCCACGTGTTAACATTAGCTCCGGTGTGTGAGCCCATCATCACAGTATTTATTATTCTATTTGTAAACTTAAAATACTTACTGTAAGGACTGCATCAGAGGAAAAGACGGACCGTGCAGGACGGAGGAACGGAGCAGAGAGAGAAAGAGAGACAACGATTTAGAAAATACAGATTTTTTAATTGTCAGCTGGTCTTTACTTTACAATGAGACCACACAAGACACAGACGGAGAATGGTTTGCAGAGTTAAATGATTAACTGTCTTCCGTCACGGCGTGATGTGATTATGTGGAGGGGTGGGGGGTGGGGGGTGGGGAGGGACTCACTGGTTCGACAGTAAGGATATGCGTTCCAGGCCTTCTCGTGAACCTCCAGAGAACCTTTGGGAGCGATCACACGGATGAACGTCGGCACTTTACTGCAGATGAACAGACAGACATCGATGTAAAGTTTTCCTTAGTTACAACTTATAAAGCCTTTTATCGGGGTTTCCCTTTAAGAAAGTGTTACGATATTTTCCGCTACTTCCACTGTGGTCCGAGATATGCAGTGTGGAGCAGCCAACCTGTGCAGGTGGTAGATCTTGTGGGTGTACTGTCCCTTCTCTCCATCCTTCTCATAGGGCTTGTTTTCCAACACCTCCACACCTTCTCCTCCACCCGTCTCGCTCTTACTGGCCTCTGCTACCGCATACAGCTGGCCCACTTGGTACTGGAGGAAGGGGCATAGAGGAGAGCACGGTTATTTACTGTTTATGTACAGATGAATTTATACAGTGATGAATTTAATCATTTTTCTCACCCTGAGAATATGTGTTGCTGCTTGGGCTGCAGAGGCTAAATTACATATGAATCTATGTGGTGGATAAAAGGAAGCTGTCAAAGAAAAGCTGATCAATTCTGAGACTTTGGAAGTAATTAGCCCTTAGTGATAAGTTTCCCTCTCTGGTTGAAGCTATAGCTTTCAGTAGTGACAGCTTGTGAAGCATTGGAGCTTTTTCACAGCACACGTTTTAACTGTTGGATCAAATCAAATGTGTTATGTCAGTGGAGTTTCTGCAAGTGAGGAAGCCACAGGCGACTCATCAGCGTCCCTCAGCGCTGTGGAGGACTTCAGCGTCTTTCAGCTCATTGTTTTGGTCAAAAGTCCCACAACCTCTGCTCCTATCAGGTTTAAAGTTCTGATACACCCAGTGAGTTTGCAGCTTGCTCCGCTGCCCCCAAGTGGCCAAATAAAGAATAATGCATAAGCTGCTTTTTCTTTTTCTTTTCCATATCAAAAAATGGGCTAAGGTTATTTTATCTATTTTATAAATATTTTGTTTCCTAAAAAACACCTTACTAGCTTCTATATTAGCATTTAGCTCAGTGCACTGAGCAGCTCAAAAATGAAAAAACAGGATTCAGATAATGATCGTTAGACTAAGAGAAAAAAAAAAAGAAATACTACAACACACGTGAATGTCGACATGTTGGAAGAGCCCCTTGTGAGAATCCTTCTGTCATGACCTGTGCTAACCATTAATGTCAGCGACCGTGAGTTAACCATTTTCCTTTCTCAGACACAGACTTCAGCCTTGAAAAAGAAAAAAAAAAAAAAAACTAGCACAGTAAGCTTTTTCTTGACCTTTTTGCCCCTTTCTTCCTCTTCTTCTTCCTCCTCCAGCCCCCTTAGTTCAAGCCCTTCCTGAGTCAGGCAAAAGTGTTGTGACACTGGAAAGAGTGACTCACATCACTGGTGCTGTCAGCCTGGACAGCACACTCCTACTTAACACACATAAAAGAACCCTTGACACATGTAAGCTGTTCCTGTGATGCTTTATCCAACACTGTTTGCCTTAGATTGGTTTTTTTTTATTGCCCCTGTGAGATTAAGAAATGTTTTGTGGATTTGTGTGAAAGTTGACATTGACACATCTTCTGCCATTTGCAGCTCAGCCAGACAAAATTGTTGCGTTTGAACCGAGCCAAACCCTCTTCTCCCCGGAGACAGAGCACCGCTACAGGCTAGCAACCTATTTTGGTAGCTGCGGATGTTGGGCCCTGCCACTGTGAGTAGGAAGTCAGGAATGTGACTTGTCGTGTTTAACCAGTAGGTCCTCTCATTGTCAAGGACAGTCAGACGTAATACAGATTTTTTTTTTTTTACTGAGCTCAAGCTCCGGGGTGGGAAGACGACATTCAGCTGCAAACAACAAACAGGCTGAACCTGAACGGAGGTGGTCCCCAACACCGGACAGAACACGTTGAGACAAAGTCTGTCAGAGGAAAAAAAAAAAAAAAAAACATGAACCTGCTGATTCACATCAATTGTCAAAAGACGAGGTGTGGACTGTGAATGAACGCTCTATTTATTTACTTATAAAGAGAATATGTTGCATTTCAGTGGCACGTGAATAACCGTCTAAATGACTTCGCCCCGAGCAACAACATCCTCCCAAGGGTTTGCTTGTTGAAACTTGTGTCCTCTTGCAGACAGAGCTGCAGAGTAACTGAATACTTTGGATTTCAAATATGTAATTCCATCACATATTATAACAAAAAATACACAATTCAGTGAACGAGCTGTTACATTAAAATGTATGATTTGTGATCTGTGAATGTATTGTATTAATCAGGGCTGCACCCAGGGCTGTTGGTACTGACACCGATACTTTGACTTCTATACCAATTTTATGAAATCCATTTTAACAAAAAGAAAATTACAACACCCATTACAGTACAAATTTAGTTTTACTTTAGTTTTATTTTTAAGCTCAGTCTCTTTACACACTCGAACGTGTTCGTGTAAATAAACAGCCAATCACCAGCATTATTAGATCTTGGTCCAAGCATGCTGCCTGCTGATTGGCTCACTGACGCTGATGAGATGTGCTCATTTACTCCTTAGGTATCAAATCATTTTTCAGTCCCTCGCTGCAACAAACAACTACTTCTACCATCTATTAATGAGCTAATTTTGTTCTTGATGAGCATGAATACTACAGCATCTGTGAAAACAGCTGGATCATCTCTCTGTGGAGATGCTTCATCAGGTTAAAGAAAATTAACCCTGATGATGTCATCAGTTTTTTTATCATAACACCTAATTTAAAGTTGGGTGGTTGGAAGATGTGGCGATTTATCAGACTTGACGGGTTATAGATGCAATCAAACTGCATTATGGGAAGTGCTGGATCTCATGCTAAGGACTAAAGTCAGGATATTCTGGACTCTGATGCTTCGATTTCGATAATTGTTTCTTGTTAGTCCCCTAACTTTATGGAAGCACGACACTAAAATCACTGGAATACTTTTAATCAGTTAAAGATAAATATAAATAATATAAATCTATATAAAATATATATATAACCTTTAAATATTCTATTCATCCTCATGGAAGACTCAGAAAACCAGCAAATATTGAAACTTGAGAAGCTTTAACCTGTAAATTTATGTCATTTTTTCCTTCAATGTGACTTAGTTGCTAGTTACATGAGGAGATCGACACCACCCTCATGTTAATGTGGAGTTAATGTGTAGCTACAACCAGAGACTGGCTAGCCTCACTTAGCTTAGCATAAAGCCTGGAAACAGGAAGCCTGACTGTGCCTGAAGAAAGTGAAGTAGTGTTTCCCAAATTGTCCAACTATTCCTTTAACTATTTCAATTGTTGTGTTATCAACAAGTTTTCAGCTCTGTGAAATATTACACTCAAGAAAAAGGTTTGAATGTGATGAAATGTAACAGCAACGCAAACCTGAGTAATCACCTTTGCATCATCAAATGCCCAGATTAATCCAGCTCCAGTTGTTCTAATGGTCGCAATTAGTTACTCAACTAACAGAAAACATTTAACACTGAAACGGATCAGAGAGGAAAAGCCCGTCATTCAGCAAACTGTGATTATGTGGCTTAGTGAAACACTGGCTACTGCTCTGAGTGAAGCAATGGAGAAACAAAAGAGTCCAGTGTTGTATGGAACATTTGGATTAAAGCGTAGATTGAGTCACTGGTCGTTAGGTAAAATAAAGGAAGGTGTTCACATACTAATTAAAAAAAAACAAAAAAAAACAATGGTGGTTCTCCCATAAATCTAATGAGGAGGAAAGGTGAAGAGGCTGAACCTGCTCTTGTGATAACATGGCAGCAGCCGGTGGTGTGGTAGATTAAACACAGCTAAATAAATTCTGCACCTGATATGAAGCTACAGCTGAGTGTTTAAACTGCAAGGGCATCTACAGGCGGCGCAAAGGGACAACAACAACAACAACAACAACAACAACAACAACAACAACAACAACACACGTCTGGGCACATACTGTACTGAGCAGCAGCCACTTAAGTGTAAATTAAGTGTTCTGCCTATAATCGTCCGTAAAGGCGGCGAGAACAGATGCGCGGCGATAGGTGAAATATGTTGATCGACTGCCTTTTCAGACAGCATTCCTGCGAGGGAAAACGTCACTAAGAGAAAAATATTAATAACGTTTTATGTCTCCATGCAAATATAAATCTTCTAAATAATAATTGCGTTTTTTTGTGCGTAGTGTCCGGTTGTGATTGTGAAGTTTTCCCTCTGCTCACATTTGAAGCAGGCGTTTCGTTTCTTCTTGACATCGTTTCGCAGCTACGTTTGAACGGGACAGGCGAATAGTTATGACATCACACTCTCAAATAGCAGTCCACTTCCTGTTTCGTTACAGCAGTCTCCACAAAACTAGGTTGTTTTTAAACTGTGTGATGTATTGTGTGTAATATGTTTTAACTTACATGCACCAATCAGGAGTAGCAATCCTAATGTTGTTGCAATACAGGCTTTCTATTATATTCTATTCTATTTTATTCTATTCTGTTCTATTCTATTCAGTTGCCTTTCTAATACACAGTGAGCAGAAAAATACAACCCTCTGCAGGTGGTGATTGTGGTGGAGTACAACAGTCCTGACATGCCTTTATCCAACGTTTTAACGCTGGATTGTTCGCTAAGACAACATGTGATTTACATGTGATGCAACCGGAATGTCATGTCGATTAGCATGTGCTGTCCCTGTAAACACAAAAGTAAACAAATGAGTCCTTACCTCCTCCACGGACACTGGCAGGACAATTCGGCTGCAAGAGAGAGAGAGAGAGAGAGAGAGGGAGAACAGGGAGGCATCAGGGTAAAGATATACAGTCAGTAATAAGACATGTAGGTAAACATGCCAACATCGGCCTTCTGATTATATAACATGTCCAACGATCTGGATTCAGAAGGAACCAGCGATTGATTTAATCTCAAAACTGCTTCTAAAAGGTGGAATTTAAAGGAATAGTTCATCATTTTTGGGAAATACACTTATTCACTTTCATGCCCAGAGACAGATGACACAACTGACACCGAGCTCACGTCTGTGCCGCTGGTTAAGTTAGCTTAGCTTAGCTTAGCTTAGAATGAATGGATCCACCTAGCAGCACCTTAAACGACGTACGTGGATTAGACAATCACACTTTATTATTACCATGAAACCTGAAAGCGGGAGGGGGACAGCAAGTCTTGTCCTCTTCCAGCACCTGTGCCCGCGCCTTCATGCACAGGGTGTGGGTTTGATTTCAACACAGGCAGGACTTCTAAATTAATGTGACATGGAAAGCACAACAGTGCAGCGCCTCTGTGGGGAAAGGGATCACCGAGAATAGAGTTGGTGTCAGTTAGTTGGCCAGCAGAGGTAACGGCCAAGCCAATCTTGACATGGCAGACAAAACGCTTCAACGGGGAGCTAATGAAACTACTAATGTCTCTCAGCAGTTTAAGCGGCGAGAGAGAACCGCTTTGAACAGTTGTATATAACGAGCACCGAGAAGTGGTGTGAAGAGTTAGTTCTCTGCTGGCGTCCCACTATCGCAGGAACCAAAAGAAGAGGAAGAACAAACGATAAAAAAAAAAAAAACTGCAATCAAGACTGACTCTGCGAAAGAACAAACAAAAAGGCCTGGAACTTCTGGTGGAAACGCTGCATGTGTGTGTGTGTGTGTGTGTGTGTGTGTGTGTGTGTTTGTCCTTCTCTTGTGTGAGTTGATACAATAGGCAATTAATCGCCACCTGTTGCCAGTCTAGCGGGGCCTGAATATTTCATTAGAACAGATCAGAGTGGAAGAGGAGCCCTCCAAGCATGAACTTTATGGCCGGTGTGATGAAAAAAGATGCACAGTACGTTAACACACACAACCCTCCCTGAGCATTGTAATTTATCGTGGCTGAGTCTTTTCATGCACTTTGCACCATGATCATATGACAGCCAGCTACTGGATGATTTTCCAGCGATGATGATGTGCATATGACATGACAGTCATAAACCGGCCTGGCTCAGGAGTTACAAGAAGGTAGAAATAAAGGGAAATTCATTCATCCACTTCCTTCAGTCAAGCTTTTTGAGGCAGGTTTGTGACTGATTTAACTCCCATAAGTCATGTTATTTGCCAGGATCGAGAACCCCAAACATTTTCCAACTTAAGACAAAGTTTTCCTAATAAATTCATCATGAAATACTTGATGAAATGCGAATTAATATCTTTTCTAATCCCTTGAGATTAATTTTCTACTGTGCCTTAAATCGATATTTCAAAGAATAAATGAAGTCAATGGAAATGAGACTTTGACAGTTGTCTGGCTGCACCCACAGCTTTCCCCTTCATACCAAATTACAGTGTAATGTCAGCGGGTTAGCAGCTTCAGCCTGAAGGTTTGGTTGAATTACGCCGCTATTCTAAATATAAAGTTAAATTCATCTATGCCGAAATGTCTCTCATTCTCATAGTAATCCAAACAAACATTTATTTTTAATTATAACATGTAGAAACGTTTACTAATAACCAAATAAACTTTAAATTGTCTTAATTTTAAAAGGAGTTCTGTGAGTTCCACACCGGAGATCAAACAACGCAGTTCAGCTTCATATCCGACGGTAACACTATCCGGGCCTCATTTCTAATGTAGTTAATAATTTGACAAAAGTCTGATAAGGTTGGCAGCAGTCAGAGTGTCCGTCTGTCTCTTCTACCTGATATAAAGAAGGAACGGCTCCGTTTCACAAAGTTTTAATACTCACAACTCTTTAATCAGCATGTTGACTGCTCCTCCGTCCGAACACGAGCGTGTGACAAAGTTGAAACCTCCAGAAAAAGTTTTTTATTTTTTATTTTTTTACTTTAAGTCAAAGCGGACAAGGAGCCGTTCATTCAACTCGCCCGACGCTCCGGTCCTCGGGATTTCTTCCTGGAAGATGTCGTGAGAGAGTTGGTGCGAAGGGGCGCGGCAAAGAAAGAGGAGGAGACACCCACCTTTAGTTTCAGGTAACTAGATGTGACGTTCACGTGCAGTTGGTAAGTAATTATCAAGCATGAACGTTAGGTTGTATTTATGGCTTTATGTGCATGACAGAACTCCCACAAGCTACTGATAGTGCTTTTTATTACTGTCTTACTGCTCTAGACCTTCCAGTTCTACTACTATACTATACTATATACTATACTACACTATACTATTCTATACTATACTATCATCATGTGCTAACCTATTTTAACCCTTAAAAACTGAGCGTTGCAGCTACAAAACATTAAATAACTTTTGAGCCGTTTGTGATAATGATATATTACATATACTGTATATAACACTTTTGTAAGTGCCACAGTCGTCATAACAAAACTTGTTGGTATATTATTATTTTTGAGTACTCGTGCATGTAGTTGCTGATGTTTCGTATATTGTGGGTGTCAGTGTCTCTAGCACCGTAACTCACTAAGGAAAAAGTTTATTTGCACAAAACTTCACATGGAGCTCCAAAACACCTAAATACAACTTTTCACATTAAAGAAAATAAATTCCCTGATTTTGTTTTTGTCAAATATTGTGTGCTTACACAAAGATAATGCATGATGGTGACTTTACATTGCACCATGAAGAAAGTGTAGGTTCTCCTGAATCATATGATGTATAACACTTGACGCTGACTGAAAGAATAAGCTGAGAATTGGCAAAAATATAAAACTACGTCCAGGCGTTTCTTTGTCTTATATACTATTATAGTATTTATTATATTTTAAGTGCAATATTCTTTTTGTGCCCGTCTGTCTGTCTTAACTTGTGTTTCTGTTTCCACTGATCAGAAGTAGCACTCCTAATTTCGTACAATGACAATAGAAGCTTTCTATTCTATTCTATTCTATATTGGAAGAATAATAGGTGTTAGTGCCACTTTAAGCAGCAGTAGTCTCAGCATTGACATGTGTCTGTTGTGGTATAAAATAGAAAGAATCACATGTTATTTGCAGAGTGGATCCTAATGAGTCCAGCACGTGATTTTACAGTATGTGGCGTCACATAGTCAAACACGAGGTTACAGGTTACGATGCGTGTTGTGAAGTTACCACTGTGTCGGTGATTACAGCTCAGTGACCATCAGCTGGTGCACAAGGATAGTGCATGGCTCCTTTTCTTCCCAAGAGGGTGGAGTACCCTGCTAAACCGTGTGTGTGTGTGTGTGTGTGTGTGTGTGTGTGTGTGTGTGTGTGTGTGTGTGCACGTCAACGCCCGACTGTGGTCAGACCAGTAGAGGGAGAAACCGCCGACTCTGGCTCAACCTGTTTATTTCAGACGACTCAGACAGTTTATTTCCACTCAGGATGTTCCTCTGTCATTAACACAATACTGAGGAAACTGTGTGGTTGATGTTGCCCAACAGGTTTCACCTAAAGTGGGGTCTGAAAGTCTGAGACCACTTTCCTTTTGCATGTATACAGCTGATATTTCTACTCTGTTTGACTCTGTTTGAAGTATTGGAGTGAGAGTCTGACCCCTGCTGCTCTGAAGGAGTAATGTCCTGTGCGGTGATCATTAGAAACAACAAGACACATTTATACAAATTATTGTGTTTATTTTGCTTCATATATTGATCTGTTTTTTGTTTTTTTTTTTCCTTTCAGTTGAAACAGCATGACTTGAAATGGATGTCAGTGACAAATGGCTATACTGTGGTACAAGACAAAAGAAAAACCAAATATACAATTTAAGACCATGAAAAATACACATTCTCGTAAACATCAGAGGAAAAAAAAAGAAAAGTAGAATGAAAGACAACGAAACTAAACGGAAACATGGTCGGCAAAAGATCCAAAACATACATGCCGGAGGGGGGGGGGTCAGTGTTTCAGCTAAATCACACAGCCATAAAAACACCCACAACCAAACGCTGACGCTAGGATTCATCTTCAGAGAATAAACAATTCATCAATACATCAATCGATAAACCAAACCACTGTAATGTAGAATCCCAATCCAAGGGACCAGGAAGGTGTTGGCATTGAGGACAGGGTGAGGCGTTTAAGGTACGGCAGTGAAGGAAAGTGCTGATTAGTTTTTTTTTTCCCCCCCCATTTTTCAGGGAGTGAAGATTTCCCCTGATAACTCATCACTCGTTCACCCAGGCGTCATCGTCACAACGTGTCGTTTACATCTACAGAAGTTTGTGGTTTAGGACAAACAGACTGTATATTGGCTGATTTCATGTTGAGCCACAGAGTGAGTTCAGGATGGGTTACCGAGCAAATGAAAAATCAATGTCCATCATCACCCACATTCATAGTTAAATACTGCGTCAGAGTACATCTGAACCTGCCTGTCACAAATCTGAGATACGAGAGCGCAGAGGTCCCGTATGGAGGAAAACTAGTGCCATAATTATTGATATTCGTTTTATTGGAATGACAAATGTCAATAAAGTTTCATGTAAACAGCACAGCAGATTTAAATCCGTACATTTCCTAAATAAAGATTCATGTTGTTTCATCTCTCAAGTACAAAACTGGTGTTTAGAGTCACACAACAGTCTGTGTTGTGCATTTGAAGATATAAGAATTATTCCCCACAATAAAAGTACAAACGGATCGATGTCTCTGTGTAGGTTTGTATCTGCAATGTCCTATTAAAGATTGACAAATAAGAAAGATTTTAATCTGTTCTGGGGGAGAAGGATATCTGGGTTATCACTGTCTCTGCTGCCACCAAATATTAGATTTTTTTGTACTTTAGAGATACGAAAATGTCATTTTTGTAAATAAAGAAATACAAAAGTAATAAAGAAAAAGACATAAATAAAAAAGAATATAACAAATTCCTGCATACTATCTATGTATGTTTACTGAAAATCCCATTCATTTGATTTCAATGTTCACCCAAAGTTTACACTTTTAATAAATGTAGTTCTGGCATTGTGTGGGGATTCATTACTTTCTTCTGCATCATTTCATTTTCCTGTGAAAACATTCAATCTGAGAAGCTTAGAAATGTACAAATGTGAATTTAGTTTCATTACAAAAGCACATTTTTTTCCCACTTTACCAAAGTTCTTTGTACAGTTGAATTTGGGCGCTTATTTTCCTCCATACATTTCTCTCTGATCGTCGACAGATAATAAAACTCATGCAGTTTAATGAGGATGAATGTGCAGCTCTGATAAACGTACGTCCACACAAGTTCCTGAACTGAGAGACAAGACTCTGCCACACTGTCCATGCACATAAAGGCAACATAATGAACATGTGAAGCAATAGTTTTTAGTATAAAAAAATAACAGCATCTTTCCGTTTCCCATGTTCTGAATTACAAATCTACATCTGAAGCTCCGAGTATACATTCTCTGCATCATGCACCACTAGTAAGCAGCCATGCACTGCGTGTACGATACAGTGGGAGGGGGGGGCAGGCCATTCAGAAATACATGACTGAGGTCCATTTTAGAGTCTAAAGTGCATCACGTGCCATTCATTTCTCACTTGAGTCATTCACTGGGCGCCTCTGGTTGGTGGCAGAGGCTCGTCTCTCAGCTCTGTCGTCAGTAAACACTTCAAGACGTGTTTGTGGGACGATGGGTGGATGAAAGCAACAGATAGATAGATAGATAGATAGATGGAGGGAGGGAGGGAGGGAGGGAGGGAGAGAGGGACTGGGTGTGCCACATCCTGCCTGAATCCACTCCTCCCATCATCTGTACACATAGAGAGGCACTCTGAGGGTCATGGCTGTCTTTGGAAGTGCCTCTGCGAGTTAAAAAATATCCGAGGAGCTTCACTCTATGGCGTTTGAAGACAGCAGACTGAGTCAAATCGCAATTACTATCTCCCTGTATCTCTGTCTACACACTCCACGCTTCTGCTCTGGGTCGTTTTCTTTCAAAGACAAAGACTCTCTGTCGTCTGTGTTGTTTCTCAGAAGCTGGAGGAACGTGTCTTTTTTATCAGCCTGCTACCTTCAAGCTAATGTCCCTTTATGTCTGTAAGAGGTGAGTTCAAGTTTCCCAGAGCTGCTGCTGCTGCTGCTGCTGCTGCTGCTGCTGCTGCTGCTGCTGCTGCTGCTGCTGCTGCTGCGTTACGGTGCAGAATTACAACACAAAACTGATAAGAAACAAAGGAGCAAAGTAGTCGTTTGAAATGGTAGCTTGATTGGTTCTTTGGAAATCCACTGAAGAAGCAGGTCTTGTTAGTAAATCAATGGCAATTTGTTGTTTTGTTTGTGGTAAAAATGACTTCAACTGCCCCTTTAAAGCAAAATACACAAAAAAAATTAACACATTTCTGTAATTAACTAGCACCCTTTGTGATTTTTTTTTTTTATCAATACAGTCCATAAAATGTACATATATATTTACCTGTCTGTGTGTGATTGTGTGTCAGCGTGTTGCCCAGCACCCAACAGAAGCACTTATTGCTACGACGAACCCAAACTGCAAAACTCGTGCGTGTGTGTGTGTGTGTGTGTATGTGTGTGTGTGTGTGTATGTGTGTGTGTGGCAGGGCTCCTCCGTTAAAAACACACTACATCTAACATCTTCGTCCCTGTCTACCTACTCTAAACACACGTCCTCCTCCACAGATCAGGTACAGGGGGGTAAAAAGTTTGAACAGCACATCTTGTGATCATATTGCAATAAATACATTTGAAAAAAACAAACAAACAAAAAAAAAAACAAACAACAAACGGTACACGAGGAATTCAAAAACCAGACCGACATGGCGAGTTGAGTGTCTTCCTGCGCTAGTGACTGAGTGAAACTGTTAATATAGGACCAGCGCTGGCATCACTGGCATCATGCAGTGTAGTTTATCAAACACCAGAGAGCACTTTGTCACACCGCATTACCTCTGCCGTGTTTCCTCCTCACTGATCTGTGCATCACGTGCATCACCTGACCGTGTGTGTTTCGATCCGAGAGCTGCTACCAATACTGCTGCTGCTAGTCTGTGGAGTCTGACTCAGGTAATGCCCTCCAGCACGAGAGGAAGCGGAGGCGTCGGGACCTAAGATGCCACTTGTGCGGCTGTCTAAGAGGGATGAGAGTGTAGAGACAAACCTGGGCCAATTAGAATGTAAAGGTCGTCACGGTAACTCCATAGTTACTCCATGGTTACCGCATGTTGGCAACGCACCAGTTCTTGTAAGGTGGTAAAAGTCACAATACTGTCACAGAGAATTTGTCTCCTCACTTTACATCTTCTTCTGCTTCTCCTTCTTCTTCTTCATCTTCTTCTTCTGTGGTTTTTTAAGTAAGACTGGCAGAGGCTAAACCAGTCGACCATCAGTGGCACATGTAACAGTGTGAAATAATAATAAAAAAACAAAATGAAAAGAGTGAAGAAGAGGAGTCACTTGGGGAGAAATAAAAAATAAAATAAAAAGTCCCCAATCGTTTTTTCTTCTTCTTCTTCTTCTTTCTCCCATTTATTCTATTTTCTCCTCGTTTCCAGACGATGCACGGTCCCAACGGAGGAGGGGACAGGTAGCTGTTGGTGATGCCCCCCCACATTAGAGCCGCGGGAGGTGGGGGCTGTGGGCGGGGGTTTGGGGGGGTGGAGAGGATGTGTATGTTTGTCTCACTGTGTATACTCAACGGATGAAGGAGGGTGAAACTGGGTGTCACAGTCATGTTTGGCCAAGTGGCAATATGGCAGTGTAATGGAGGGTGTGTGTGTGTGTGTGTGTGTGTGTGTGTGTGTGGGGAATGTAAGGGATTTGTGAGTCATCAGACAAACTGAGAGAGGCGTTGGAGGACAGAGTGAATGTATTCATCATGAGTCTCACACAGGCAGTTGACCTCCACTGCTCTCCCCTCCCTCTCTTCTTCTTCTTCTTCTTCTCTCTTTTTTGGTGTCGAATTCTCCGCTCTCTCTCTCTCCCTCTCCCTCTCTCTCTCCCTCTCTCTCTCTCCGGCTCTAGACGAAGGCCTCGGGCTTGCTACCGTTGTTGATCTGGACGTAGATCTTGGGATCCTCGTCTTGCTCGTCTCTGAGGCGCTGGAGGTAACGGCTGTGGCACAGCAGGTAGAGGGGCAGGCAGAATCCCAGCATGCTCACCACCAACAGGCCCACGTTCACCTGAGGGCCAACCGACATTAACGACGTGAGCCTTTGACTAAAACTCTCAAATTGTTCAATAAATAAATGCATAAATAAATAACCAGGTATTTGTGACATCGTACCCAGAGAGGGTCTCCTTCCAGGGGTCCCACCATGGCCATGAAGAGAGGCTGCTGCAGCAGGGCGAACAGGGCGCTGATCAGAGACTGCATCCCTGTCAGGCTGCCAAACTGAGAGGACGGGTACCTGCGGGGGACAAACAGCATGTTTCAGATGGTAAAGTCACACAGGTGTCATCACTACACTGAGGTCGTACTTGAGCTTTTGGATAGAAAAGTATATGAACGGCGACTTCTACGTGAGCTAAAGGTTATGTAATATATATAATAATATAATGGGATATATTATTATCACATATTTACATCCTCTGAATATATGAAGATGGAAGTTTATAACATATATGAAATACCCATTGTTAAATTTGTATATGTACATATAATAAAAATATCTATATGATCAACATGTTGTGATCACATGTATTAACGATATATTGTTCATTTATATGTGCAAGTGTCTTAAAATGATGATCTTTTATATTTACATACATAATATCAACATATATTAAGGTTAAAGATGAATGTACATATGACTACAACATAAACATATATATTTGCATGGGCTAGATATATATTTCATTATATGAAATGTCTAATAGGTCTCAATTTTTTACATGTATATACAATTCAATATATGTATATATATTATATTTGGCTCAACAGTGAGAATTATGGGATAATGCTAAATGCTAAAACCTAAGCTAACAGTAGCACAAGTAGAAAGAGTCATAAAGCCGGTGAGCTGACTCAGTAATTTCCATTATACAGCAAAATATACCTAACGCTAGCTAACATTAGCCGCGGTACGCTAATGGTCATACCAGACCGAAGTAAGACTTAAGCAACAAAACCCCAGCGTGTATTGAATTGAATAATGCTGCGTTCAAGCGCTCACAAATTCGACTTTTCATTTGTGAGAGGAAGAGAACGTGTCTCTTCTTTCAAACGTGACATGATCTTTTGAGAAGATTGAACCTTTAACTTTGTGGGGAGAAGTATGGGAAAGACCCCCTTCCTGTTTCAATATGACATCACAAAGAAGCTCCGTAAAGAAATAGTTCTCCGAGATCAACATCAACCCCCCCTTCAAATGTGGTGAAACAGGCTCTTACATGAGATGTTCCACAGTCACATTACGGTGCAATGCCCAGGTGTCCGCTTACTTTTGACCATGTAGTCTTTCTAGTCAATATATTCTATTCATGGTGTTATGCAGTATCATTGTGTATTTTTTATGCCATTACACTTTACACTTACACAGCAGCATAGAGGCCTCCGACTGCGGAGTGGATGAAGCCTCTGACGATGGTGTGCAGGATGAAGGACAGAATCTGAAGAGGAGGAGAAAACAGAACATTAAAAAATATATATATATCTTTCATTATGTACCGGGTCAGTTGGCAGCTGCTCTGTCCTCAGTGAGAAATGGCTTTCATCTTTGATAAATGAGATTCAGCAGCAGTAAATAACATGCTATGCCTCTTTCGTCCAGCAGGTGTCACCGGAGCACTTAGAGATCTCAGTGTAGCTGCATTGCCATGTGAATGTCTCCCGTCTGAACATCATGTACATCTCCCAGTCTCTGCAGTGTTAACGCTTTCTGTGAAGAGACTCACTCGGGGCTACAGCGGCACGTGCTTGGAAATGTGCACCCCCCCCACCCCCCCACCCCAACACACCACCCCCAAAAAAAAAGCAAAGTTGAACAGAAATAAAGTCGTCTGTCTTTGTTTAACCTTGAGGAGGCAGGTTGGGGATGATGCAGGTGATATCCGAAGCCAACCAGGAGCAGGTTGGTGAAAATGAAGGCTCTGGTGGCGTTGACGATCTTCTGGATCTGTTTGTCGGGGCGACGGGGCTGACCAGGCTCCCTAATAGAACACAATAGAATAAAATAGAGTCAGACTTTTTTTTTTCTTCTGTTTTTCCATCAGCTGCTTTTTCTTTTTCCTTTTTCTTCTTCTTCTTCTGAGCTCTCTGTCTAAACGTGTGTGTTTACGGGTGCACCCTCACCTCTTGACACTCTTGTCATTCTCGTCCTCGCAGTCTTTGAGCCTCCAGTCCATGACGTAGCCGATCACGGGAGAGGTGACCAGACACAAAAGCTGGAGCACGCCAAAGATGGACGTGTAAACACTCACTGAGAGACAGGCGAGAGTACAAGACGGAGTTATTATCCTGTTCTTTTTAATGCTGTATTTTGAAGCTTTTGAACGTGAAATGAATGGTGTGAAGAGTTCAGAGGGAAACGCACAAGCAAACACACTGACAGGAAGACAGTTTGTGAACGTCAAAGGGCTTTTTTTCAGGTCGTGACCACACAGTTTATTCAAACTTCATGCTCTCACAAAGACAGATAAAGCAGCAGAGGAGAGAAGGTGAGGAGTGTAGGTGGTTAGATCTTTGTGACTTTGGCCTGAGGTCTCTTACCCACTTGCATCCTCTCCACTGCAACAGCAGCAGGAAGCCAGCATGACAGGAAAAGAGAAGAGAGAGCGACAGAGAGAGAGGAACGGAAAAGGAAAGATGGAGCCGAGTTAACAACGAGCCATGTTGGGGCGGTTCAGCTGAGCAGAAAGCAGCAGAGGGAGGATCGTTAGGTGTCCGTCAGAGAGCGGAGAGAAGAAGACGTAAACACACTCCCTGCAGCACGGTTACATGTCAGATGTTAAAGGATAAACATTCACAGAGTCCATCCTCTACTCACCTGTGCTCAGGTCTCCCTCTGTCAGGGACTCCAAGATGGTGTTCATGGCTCCCATGTAGAAGATGAGGCGCAGCTGGGTCACGCACATGGTGATGAGGCTCAGCAGGAAGATGGGACTGAAGATACTTTTCATGAAGGACTGAGCTGCAGAGGAAATGAGACAGAAGAAGTCGTTAGAGTCGGGGCCAGATCAAATCAGTCCGTTCATATACGAAACAGACGGACAGACGGCGACTTATTATGGATTATCACAGATATGATTCAGAACAGTGTTGTTTATGTCTATTAGGAGCTTTTTCCTGCACAGAGCTGCATGAATTGTTGTTTTTCAGCATTTTCCCCAAACACTCAAAAAGTTACCGAGCTCCATATGCAACATTCAGCGCTCTGCACATTAGTTTGTTGTTCGGTTTCATAATATTCCCTTTGCAAACATTAGGGGAAAACTGCAGTTCTGTTTCAACCTGTTATCTGGAAGCAGTTTGTATATTAACAGGTATTTTCATGAGCTCAAAGATGACTGTGATTTCCCCGGAAAAATAAAAGAGGCTGCAGAAATATTAGATTTAAACGTTGGTTTCTATCCATTTTATTTTCTGGGTGAACAATAAGCATCTCTTATTACCATCAAATATGAACCTCGCTGCTGGACAACATGTAACAGATAAAGTTTTAAAGGGGAACTCCACTGCACTTCCATAAAGAGACATTTAAGTAGAATTTCAGTGTGAAATGATGAGACAGATGTTGCCTCAGAGTCAGAAAAACATCAGTGAGGCAACACAATACTCCCTGTTTTGCTTTTCAGCAGCGGTGAACTTTCATGCACAATACAAGACAAGTCCAAACTCGCCTCTAATCCTGCATTTTCTCTCTGTCTAAACTCTTTTTTACATGACGGGAAACTACACCCATGTCCCTCTGTCAGGGTGGAGTGAAGAGATTGTCATCTGAATATTCCCACCAGCCCTCGGGTGCCACGGCAACACGTCTTAACCTGCACAAGAGGCTTTGCGGCGGGTGGGGGGGTGGGGGCTCAAAAGAAAGGTGGATTCTGGGTAAAAAGTTGATCATTAATCAAAGATGTGAATACCAATGGAAAATGGACACAACTGCCCATCTGGCGACGTGCTGGACAAACCAATTAATGTGGTTGCACAGACGGAGGAGATGGGTTTATTACCCAGAACGACAGGTATCCACCAGAGGCTTAATTAAGGGGATTGTTTGGTAACAGGTAACAGGTAATGCTTGTGAGGCATTATAATGTGTAATAAGCAGCTGTACCCACAGATTGCTTCAGAATTATTACAATCAGATCATGATATAAGAAAAAAATGTGCATTAACATTAACAACACATCTGTATTTCTGCCAATGCTGGCAGCTCTATGAGGCTGGACTTATGCTATCTGAATGCTAACGCCACCATGCTAACAAGCTCACCGTAACACTGTTAGCATGTTGATGTTTAGCAGGTACAATGAGCACCGTCTTAGCTTATACGTGTCAGCATGCTAACATTTGCTGATTAGCATAGCATGAACCAGGGTTACTAATGCATTGATCAAGCTGCTAGTCGCCGTAGCACCATAAAACACCGTCAGTTTTAAAATGCACAAAAAGATGGCGAGTTCTTAGAGACACAAAAAATATATATGTCTTCAGTGTTGCCTGAAAATCTAGTTTCACAACTTCACTGTGGCTCTGCTGAGTAAGTGCAGCTGCAACAATGAATAAATAAAAGTAATAAGAAAATAAACTGAATTGTTCACAGCTTCCATCAAATTAGAGCAAAAGGAGCAGGGGAGCGGGTTTGTGTGCGAGTGTGTAATATGGACCTCTTTAAAGATCCTGACAGACGGAACATGTCCAGCTGTTATGAAACCAACCATGAGCATCCTGACTGCACTCCGCACACACACACACACACACACACACACACACACACACACACACACACTTGCACTGGCTGATACTTCACTCCACAACAATGCTCCTCTAGAGCTCCCCGCCGACATACCACACACCTGCTGGGCAGATTTTCTAAGAACGGGGTCCGAACCGATTCCACGGTCCATTTGGTACAAAAGAGGCCGAGACACCCCCCCCCCCCCACCACCACCACCACCACCACCACCACTACTACCAGGCCACGGTGTGAGAGCCAGGACGGCCTGAGGAGGGCTGGAGGTGTAGGGGTAACAGAGGTTAGCCCAGCATGGATGTAGGGCAGAGGTAAAGGGGTAATTTAGGGGCACCACAGGGATGTAAGGGGTGGTTGTGTAGATGTAGGTCAGACCCTGAGGTTCTGTGTTGCTCCCCGCTAAGAGGAAGAGGTGAAGCTGCTGACTTTCCAACCACATGTTAAACCGATTTACACGCAACAGTTCCCTGAGAGGAAGACTGTTCACGACACCGAGGTCCGCTGTGTTTTCTATGTGAATGTGGGAGTTTGAAAGTTCGAGTTACACGAAATAAAACTCATCTTTTAAATCGTCTCTTCTTTAGACTCAAAATCTTTAAATGTGAGAAAGAATGAAGATAATTTTCATGTTCACCAACGAGCCGCTAACTATCTGCTGTCCTGTCCTGTGCACGTTACTTACACTGTGTTCATCAGTTGTTTTTGTTCCCCATATAAAACAGCTGCCTGTTGCAGCTGGGAATTAGGTTAATGAGAGTTTATTTTGCCAGAAACAGGGTATGCATGGAAAGAGGCCAAAGCGTTAACGTAGAGTCAGGATTCTTTGTGGATTAGTCGTTACGAGTTACAACCTTCGCATTACACTCTTACGCTCCACTTAGTCTCTCAACAGTGCAGCTTTGAATTAAAACTGAAATGATAATAAGTGATATGTAAAAATATGATGTATATAATGTATCTAGTACTTCATAACCTCCTGTTTTGTCAACACGACGTCCTGGTTATTGTATCTGTATCTTATACAGCGTACAATAATGTTTTACAGCCATTTTGTGTCGGCTCTGCATCGGGCTGTGTGTTGAATCCAACTGTGACGATAACAGCTCGTCATGTTATTCTGCTTCTGTTGTCTGGAAAGCTTTTTGTCCGTCACGGGGCTTTCAGACAGACCTGGCACACGGGCCGCCAGCTCTCCTGCTCAGTTCATTCACAACGCCGACCCGAGCGGCAGACTGACTCGAGATGCTCGGATGAATATTCATAAACTGGCATAAGGGGAGACAACAAATAGTGGGACTGCCTTTTGCTGAAGACTGAATCGTTTGAGCACAAGAGACACTTCTGTTGATTTTATGTGTTTTTTTGAAGCTCTGTTTCGCCATTTGGATTTCCTCTCTCTCACAGACTCAGATGTCAGTGACACTCTCTCAGCAGCATGTTGGGGATACCGAGAGAAGCTGTGAATGTGCTTTACTTTCAGTAGCACCTCACTACAGGCTCCGAACATCACGGGAACATGTTTCAGGACTTACTCTCCTCCTGGCCCTTGCACTTGACCTCCAGGTCGACGGTGGACAGGCACAGCTTGCTGGCCTCCTGCGTGGCCAGGTCTTTGGTCGGCTGGTGCTGCTGCTTGATGGAGTTGCCCACACTGAGGCGGCGCCCCACGGTGGTCACCTGCCGGTAAAACTGCTTCCCTGTGATCTTGTGGTCGAAGCCCAGCCAGCTGAACTTGATCTTCACCCTGAGGAAGAAGACGCAGACGTCATGTATGAAAACAGGAAGAGGAACACATGAGGGAGGGAGATAATGTCAGCGGACAGAGAGGAAAAGATCCAGGTGAATGAGAGCAAAGCCGACTGATCGTGTGGCTTTATGGTCTTTCCTGTCTTTAGGGCTCACTTGGCCTCTGCTGCATTACACTGGGATTTACTGCACATGAGTGTGTACATGTGTGTGTGGTAACGCGGTGATCTCTGTGGAGAATGCAGGCCGCCTTGGCTCAGTCAAGAATCCATTTGCAGGAAGTATAATCTGAGGTTAGCTAACAGCATTACAATAGCTGCTTAAGAATGATAGCTGGAGGCCTCGCAGACGTTTATATGCAAGGACGAGCGCGTGTCTGTTTATCTTACGTGAAATCCATGTCCTCCGGGCCGGGGAAGGGCTCCAGAGGCCAGTTGACGAAGCAGTTGAGGAAGACGAGGCAGGCGCAGCCGGCCCAGACCACCAGGATGGAGATGAAGGTGGCACCCAGGTCATAGATCACCTGCAGGCGGGGAGGCGGCACCCAAACACAATACATCATAATGAAGAATCAGCCACACATGCTGTTATAGCAGCGTAATTCTTTCTGACTTCATGTTCGAGGAGGATGAGGACAGATGAATGAATCTTTTGGGGGTAAATCAAGAATTAGCTGAAGTAAATGACTCTAAATTAACGTTACCTTAATGCCGGGGAAGGTGACGGCAGAGGAGGCGTAGGATCCAATCATCAGGGCGATGAAGGTCGACCTCAGGTCTCCAAACATGCTGGGGAGCTGTGGAGACAGAAGCAGGAAACAAATAAGGTTACGACCTTTTATTTATTTGGATGCCCATTAGCCGCTCAAGTAAACATGACGTCATAATGCAAAACAATAATGTGAATTAAAATCCAAGACAAAAGTACGGTGGCCCTGAGAGTTCAACACACTGCAGCTTAAAGAAAACACATGCAAACGGACAAAACAACACGTGTGCTGTAAATAATCACAACACAACAGGAATGTTTCCAGGGATTGCATGGATGTATCATGATACACACACTTCAAGTGTTCAAGGCTTTTAACTTCAAAAGTCACAAAGCACATGTGTTGTCAAACTGATGAAGATGTATTCTGAATTTTCTTGTGTTCTGTCTGTTGTGAGCTCTCAGGGCCACCGTACAATCCGGAACAAGAAAACAACAACAAAAACTAACAACAGTAAAACTATAATGATAACGATAATAACAACAACGACACGTTCCGATGCTAAACAGTCAGTAAAACATTTGATGCAGCTCAAAAACAATAAACAGAGACTAAATAAAATGAATTAAATGAGGTAAAAACAAAGAAACATGATCATAATGTCAGATATTATGTAGCAGAACATGTCCTATTTGCAGAGGGGCTGGTGTTCTGTGGCATTAGTGCCACACACACAAACACATGATGTTTACAGATTCCCTGAGAACACGTCGTAATCTCGACCTCTTTGTGGCGTCTGAATATGATTTAAATCATCGTGAAACACTATTAGCCCGAGGCCTGAAAGAGAAAAATCAATTATCCACTCTCTAGCAGAAGCACAGACTGGTCATGAGCTCCTCAGATTTCACTGTGGGAGTAGAGAGAAAAACTCCTCCTCAAGTGTGTCAACCTGCTGCCACCAGAATAAAGTGGCACAGGCTCTGCACGCCGGGCTGCAGCATTAAGAGACAACAAGTTCATTCTCCTACAAATTCAAAGTTTAATGCATGAGCAATAAAACACACGTTTGCTTAATTCAATAAACAGAGTCTTTTTGTGTTCATGCATCTGTTTAACTTTGTTTTAGCATTTACTGTTTTTCTGTATTTGCTCTGTGGACAGAGTGTTAGCTTGCACGCTAATATTGTCACATTTTCCTCTTTATTTAATCCACTAAAAAACCTACAGAAGATCACTCTTGCACACATGCAGGAAAATACTTCACGCTGCTGCTCTACATTAGAGGTTATTGATAGGCTTATGGCCACAGTGAGTGCACCAGCGCTGCTGCCTGCTGCAGGGGGGGGTGGGGGGGGGTTTCTCACACTGTTTTTGTTCCAGGGTTTGAAGCAGTGCAGAGACAGAGCAGCAGCCAGAGAGTTGTCTTGCATAATGAAGCTCAACCCGAGACAAGAGCACACGCTGTTCTTAACTGGGCTACTTCAAACTGTAAACAGCCCTCTTCAGGAAGTCAAAAACAAAGCCCCAAAAAAAAAAAAAAACGGCAACACAGAGCACAAGAGCAACATGTGGCTCCAAGATTTATCACCGATGTCGATGTGATGTTTAACTGATGCCATCTGGAGAAGATAGTTTTAACATGGAGGAGAGGGACGCAGTGAGTGAATCATTCAGAGGGGGAAGGGAGTTCAAAATTAGGGTGTAAATATTATTATGTGTGATAAGCTGCACAGCTGCACTGAGAGTTCCCTCTCTCATTGTCCTCATCTGTCCGTCCACCCTCCATCCCTGTGCGTGTTCACCACAGGGGTGCAGCTTGTTAGTTCGATGGTTGAACCCTCTCACCCCGCGCGGACGTCACTCCCCGCATTAATTGGACAAAAGGTGAGCTACAGAAATCACTACGCCCACATCCAAAACAACAGTTCATCCACTGTTTCTCTGGAGCGTCAGTCAACCGCAAGAATCCAGTTATGACACTTTACAGGAGACGTCTGACTGACAGCATCGGGGGTTAGACGGGTGACCTTTGGCCCAGTTAGAGGGAGAGGAGGGGAGAGGAAGGGAAACACAAACGAACCAGCTCAGCTTGTGTCTAGCTCAGCAGACTCGCTGTGGTCACGATGAATCAAGGACAACTCATGATATCTATGCAGTGTCAACAGGTTCAGATCTCCCCACTGGCGCTCTGTCACTTCCTCATCCATTAGTCTGTGATGACGGCTCTTTTTTTAATGTCCGGTCTGTTGTGAGAGCTCTATTAATAGAATAAATCTTGGAAAGAAGTGGGCAAACTTTAGAGTGACTGTATGAAAGTTGTTACAGCGGGAAAGATGGAAAGTGTAATTTTTCTTTTTGGCTGAAGATACCACAGATATCGGCTTTTATTTATTCCCTATTTACTTTGAATCTGCCGCCATTTTTATTTGAGTGTCTGAATTCTGAGTGTGTATGTTTATCCACTACATAGTGTCCTCAAACGCTCCACAATGGACTGAAAAAGTAGTGCACATGGCGTATGCACTACTTTCTGCTCACAGTCCTACAATGCAATGCATTTTATGGATTTTTATTACTTATTATCAATTTATTATCAATTGTGTTGTCTGTTTGTTTTGTTGTTATTTTACTCTATTTCCATATCTGTAGTGTATTTTTGATTTTATGATGATGACAATTGACTGTTTGTGGATAAGTCGGTCTGTAACTTCTCTGTCAGTCACGTCCACCGTGTCACTGACAGACCCGGGCTTGTTTATTCTCTCTGGGAACAGGTTAATTCAGCAGGAGCACTGTTGCCACAGGCAGTCATTTCTGCGAGCGCACGTGTGAGTGGGAAAACACAAGAAAATCACGTGCGCAAAACGGTGCAACAAAACCACAACCCGTCCCGTCTGTGTGAGCAGAATCCACATCCAGTTCCTTGTGATACTAAAGCACTTACGTCACACTGGGAGGGAAGTGGGGAGGGGAGGGGTTTCTCTGGGTTACTAGGTCTGGGTCACAGTCAGCTGCTGAGACCTCTGCTTCCCGAAAAAAAAAAAACATGTCACAAACCAGTTTCGGTGAGTAATGGTGAAAGAAGGAAGTCGGGATTAATGGGTTCAGCAGCGTGAGGATGAAGTGTGAGTGAGTGTGCAGATGGGAGGAGCTGCTGTCAGGACTTGACGGGCAGCAGATAACAGTGTTTCTGTTGCTGGAGTCAATAACACATCAGTCAAGCGGACAGGTACGTTTGTGACTGTTAAACACTGGAGGACAAAGACTCCGCTGTGGCTCCAGGTGCCAACAGACACAACGATCGACTGAGTGCACAGTAACTGTACACAGTGACAAAACAACAAACATAACTCATGTTACTGCCACGAAATATGTGGGAAATGTTGTACATTTGACCATGCAGGTGATCATTGAAGCCTCTAATAAAAAATACATTTTCCATCATGTTCTCGCTCATGAACCTGAATTCTACAAATGCCTTAAACATGTAAATAAGACTTTAGCCACGCTAGCAAACCTGTACATTAACATAGCTGTGCTTTGAGCTGCGGGCCTGTTGTTTATGGTCTCTCAGAGCTCGCTAGTAAGACCTCAGATGAAAAGTCAGAGGATCACCAGACTCATTACAGTCCCTCTATCCAACATGGATATCACAATGCTAGCTAAAAAAATCTCCTAATCCCTGTGAGGCGTAAACAAGATTTTCCCTCAGAGAGCAGCAGCCTGTTGTGGTGGATTTCCAGTCATATAAGGAATGTGTTGCCTGTGTTTCTCAGATGTTTATGGTTCTTAATCGGAGGCATCTCAAATGTTTGTTCTGGAAGTTTTACCCTCGCCTTCAGCTTTCTACCTCATTAAACACAGGCTTTACCAATCGCTAACTACATCTATTAATCTCCTGATATCAATTACGTCATAAATATCGATTTCTCTTTGGTGGGAATGATGAAGGAAGAAAATAGAGAAAACTCCGGTGAAGACACCTCTTCTAAAGCAGTAATGCTCGCCATCTACTTTGTTATTGCCTCTTCCCTCAATAGCTCTTTTGTTAGCTCACAGTGTATCCATGCAGAGAGCGGGAAGGTACACACACAGAGAGATGGGCTCAGTGTTTGGACAGATCTATTTTTAGGTTCAGAGTAGTCACCTGGAGATAAGAGATCAGGGTTCGGTAGCGGGGTTCAGTTCGTAGCAGACTGTGCAGGTGCAGAAGGGTTGGTGGGGGGTTGTGTGTTGGCATTTGTTGTAATTACAAAAAAAAAGAGTAATCACAATATCTACTGAGACACAAAGATGCTTAATAGGAAGAGAGAGTCGATCGATGTGTTTTGTTTGAACAGCATCCAGGTAACTCAATATTTAATACAAGCACCACTGTGTGTCATGACTCAGAGTGACAGTTTGTTCAGGGTTATGTGGTAAATTGCATGTGTGAACGAGGTTAACATGAACAAACATTAAACAAAAATCTAAATATGAAATGTCTAAAATCTTTTTGGTATTAATTATATAGACAAATGAAACAAAGCTCTTGCACAAACTTGCCTTTTGGACGAATGAAGACGTTTAAAAACACTCCAGCGGCTCTTGGGCCTCTGTCAGAGTGCTCTTGAGCAATGTCAAGTGTTTTTAAATGTCCCTGGATTTGCCAATAAGAGGACAGCTTGTTAAAGGGCTTTACAAACAGCAGCAAAGCAGTGAAGGATGTTAAACCCACCTGAACTCTCACTGTAAAGATTTATGCACTAATTCTGTAAATAACCTGTAGATATGATCGTTGTTAATGATGTATCTGAACCTTTTGATGAAAAAAAACTCATTCAACTCAACCTGTGAATTAGAAAATGTCATCATGCTAACACTAAACGGTTGGTTAACACTGTACTTGCCAATCATCAGCATGTTTACTATTTTCATTGTGAGAATATTAGCATGCTAATCTAAGCATTTAGCTCAAAGAGGCTAATGAGGAGATGAATTTAACCTGTAAATATGATTGTTGTTAATGAGTATGATGTATCTGAACCTTGTGAGAATAAAGCTCAAGCTAATAAGCAAAAGTTAGCATGCTAACACTAAAGGGT